AATTGATTAGGAAAAAAAAATTAAAATTAAATAGTACAGTCATACATTTCACAATTACATGTAAGAGTTCATATTGTTCATGCTATTTGTCTAGGCGTGTTAGCTCTAGGTATTGGATAAGCTGAGCATATCACATCAGTGGCATGTCAAGTCAATAAATGCAACACACAATTAAATTAATCTCGCCTATTTATAAAATTTGCTTCCAATAAATTCAAACACTTTCATTAACTATTTTTTTCTAAATGTACTCATACACATGGTTTGAAAAGTAAAGATCTAATATCACTAAGACACTGATCGGCCTAGTGATGAAAGATTCGATATTTACTCGTGACAAAATCTAAATTACGCATAGTAAAATTGAAAGCAAGGGCGTGTGCATAGCATAAAATCAAGAGCGTGCGACTCGGGACTGAGATGTACGACACATGGTTGTTTGTTTGTTCTGTAACAGTATTATAGCCTTTACAATAGCTTCTTAGCATCCATTACTGCGCACCTGAATATGAATGTGTCATCTCTTTTCTAAGTTTTGATGACAGTAAATATTACCTCACCCAAGTTACCCGAAGTAAGAAAAGTAAAAAAATGAAAAAATATGATAGTTTGGAGTAAATAAATCCAAACCACAAGTCCTTTTCCGCGTCGCTTCAATTGTTAGAATGTTTGTTTGTTAATCTGTTAAAATTGCAAAGGATGAAAAAAAGAAATCAAGATGTGACATAATGGACAACCCTGCACTTGGGATCTAATTATTCATCATATATAGGTACGTAGATGATATACACGCTCATTATTACTTAGTGAAGAGTAGACATTGATCAGATATCCCAAGTTAAATTAATTGCCGTAGAGAGTTGAAATTTAATATTTTCAAATTTATTTCAAATTAGATTAAATAAATAAATAGTTGAAATTTGACATTCTAAAATTTATTGAAAATACTAACCCATTATACTATTGAGCCATCTGCATAATGAAAAATAAGTGAAGTGAATAAAAAGAAAATAAATTTAATTAGCTATATTTGTTTGTCATATTAAAAAAAAAAAAAAATCAAGAAATATTAAACAAAATAAAATGTTATGGTTTGAATAACATGAAATTTATCACAAAAAAAAAAAAAAGAGTATTATTGTAAATTTATAAAACTTTATTAAGAAATTAAAATTTTCTTGTGTTTATTTGTAGGAAAATTATATCTGACAGTTGGTAAGTTATGAAAAATAATTTTTCCTTAAAAAAATTTATTTTCTTGTTAACCAAATTTCTAAAGTATTTAAAAAAAAAAAAAAAAAAAAAAAAAATTCCTTTCTTACAATTTCTTGACTAACGAGTAAGTTTATTTATTTATTTTTCTGTCATACAAAAAAAAATTTAAAAAAAAATAAAAAGTTGCATGAAAGCCGGAGGGCCTAATAAAAGAAAGAATCTGAAAAAGGAAAAAATCTTTAAACAAAACAGAGAGATAGGCCCACTCATACTCACGATGTGGCTGTAGATCATATGTCTCCGTGCAGACTTTCGTACCCCAAACAAAATAGCAAACAGTTCAGAGGAAAAAGTTTACACCATTCATTCAATTAATAAATGAGTTTATTTATTAATTATCAATTATTTAGTTTTTGATATCTCCTTGTATGGAGCCCATTAATTAGGGTCGATGTGACCATTCCACCAAGATCCCAACTTATATTTCAATTTCCAACCATCCCACCCTAGTCCCAACCTGCAACCCGAGCGGATAGGGAGTAAATTTGTTTAAATTTGTATCCATCGGACAAATTCGTACCCGTCTCATTCCTATTAGGAGTTAAAGTTCACAATTCATATCCCGTCTCGTTAGGAGAATGGTGTATCTGTGTCCATCCACCAACTTCGTCCTATTTAAGTTTTTTTATTTTTTACTTATTTTATCTATATAAATAAATCGATAATATTTATAAATTCTACATAATGTTAAAACTTAGTAAATAATGATATATATATATATATATATATATATATATATATATATATATGAACACAATAACGTGCATACATGTATATCTATATATATAATTTTTAAAAAAAAATTAGAGGAAAAGGCAGCAGGGTGGATGTTTCTCAAAATTCATTCCGCCCCATAACTTGCAATAGGTTTAAAATCTAAATTCATACTCGCCACTACGGTACATAATCGGTTCCCATACCCGTGCAATTAACAGCGGGACGGTACAAATTGCCATCCCTTTGCATTTATAGTAAAAAAATTATTATATGGTTTAGGAACCATTGGTGTTAGGCCAATCACAAAGCGACACATAAACAAATGTGTCAATTTTATGTCACTTTCAATCAACTTCTTACTTATGTGTTGTTTTGTAATTGACTGAAACCAATAGTTTCGAGAGTCGGAGTGAAAAACGTAAAATCAAATTCTCTCCAAAACAGTAATGCTATATTTGGCGATCTATTTTCGACCTCAATAGCGGCGTTAGTCAATAATGAATAAAGATATAGTCTCTCTTTTCAACTTAAATAAATGATGAACATATCAATCAATAATAAGGTCCATAGAGTCTTTTATCATTTTTCTTTTTGAATAAGAAATGATTGAGTCTTTTATCATTTTATTCATTTAGGTATAATTCAAATAAAAAGAACGTAAAGAGTTGAACCCCCGCCGCACTATTTGTGTGTGGGGATCGGACTTCTGACAATATAGCTTAAGAATCATTTGTACATCTTGACGTTATCATGTATCGATAAACTACTTAAACATATGCATTTTTATTTATGTCACAAGATATAATTAATTAATAAAATGATAATTCTCAATATATTTTCGTGACCTCTAACTCCATTCCCTTCCGTGGGCCTATATATATATATATATATATATATATGTTTATCTATGATTTACAAGTCGGCATAGACTATTATAGTAGTGTAATAAATTAAAAAACTTGGTGTCCACGTCAAGTTGCGAGTGGTGAAGGGAATGGTTTAGTAGGGGACTCCTTTACTTTTGATGGGGTGTGCTTGTCTCTTCTTCTATGCCATCCACACCACAAAAAAGGACCTCATAACCAAAAGCTGTCTCTCACCATGGACGGTTTGGCCCTTTAAATTTCTCTCTCTAGCTCTCTCTCTCATGCATGTGCAGTCTTCTTCCATCGTGCTTAGATTCCCAATAGACACACTTATAAGATAATTTAAGTAAAATATTATCAATCCTCAACATAGTCACGAGGCAGGCAATATATATGGATCATAATATCATATAGATTTCAACCTCTATATATATATATATATATATATATATATGATCATCATGATCATCAAGCAATCCAAATGATATTCGCCTCTTGTCACGCGACATCACGTGATAGCTAGCTTCTTGTTTCTATTTGAATTATACCTAAATGAGATTAATATATATTATAAAGGGTATCTGATTTTGTGAATTAATTGCTCATTCACGTGACTCAATAGGCAATTTCATTTATATATTGGGATCTGTGGTTCTGTGTTCTGCAACAACTAACAACAGTTTTTTTTTTTTACAAATTTAGAGAACAAGATCGAAATTATTTTTTTTATAAGGTTTTTAGAGAAATGAAATAGACAATTCTTGTTCCGTAAGATCGTGATCGGGAATTGTTTAATGGCCTTTAAAAATAATTTTGAAGTCAAAGAGTTGGACATAATTTATTAACGGAATGCTTTTAATTGATCAATGCGTGCTAAATATAAGAAAGTAAAACTTACTACTTATTTCTTATATGATGTGGTAAATTATTATTAGAACACACAAGGAATGAGTAGGGTGAAGCTACTCACCGATTAGTACCTAAACATTATCGTTTTTTTAATTAAGTTTTCAAAAGTGATCAAATAATTTTTTTATTATATAATTTTCAATTTTTAGAAAATAAAATGCTGAATCTAATAAACGTAGGCTTATTTATCACCTTAATTCTACTTTCAAAGTTATATATATATATACACATATACCTATATATACATAATGGTTCTACCATCTTCTTGATCCAATGCCTGACGATGTAGTTTGGTGTCTTTACTGTTATAATTAAGCACATAATGTTTTCAGATTCATAGCCAAAATGGACTGTCAGATCACAACATGGGATAAAACATATATGGAGTATATATATATACACACACCCATATACATCATGGACCTTATTTATATGTCATATATTTAGATCTAGATCCAAACCCACTTCACATCCTGACACTGAGATTTAGGATGTAAAACCCAAATTCACTTTCAAGACACAGTTTGGATCAAATTATATACATTTATTGAATGAGTGAGAGTTAGTGGGTGGCCATTGCAACAAATAACAAAAGACAATGCACCAGTTGGTGTCCAGTAAAAGTTAAAATTAGGTCTTGTCGCCACGAGACGACTCATTCAATCAACCAAAAAAACACGCACTTCTTAAATTCATTTGAAACTATTTGCCAATGCACAACCATTTTCTTTGGCTCTACTGATAATCGTCACTAATTCATAACAGATTTAAATTATTCTCGGCTCATCATCAAATCTCAATCCTCATCCACATCCACCCATGCATTTATTATTGTCAAAATAATAATATATATATACATATATAAACTATAAACTTGACGAGAGACAACAATCTATGAAAACTATGCATGAGAGAGTGAATTGTAATGGTGTCTACTGGTCGATTGTTGTATGTTGTGGTTCGCTGTATCGTTGTGTATTGGTCGATACGTAACCCCTAACCCCTTTTTAAGTCTGATATATGATTTGTCATACGTAACCCCTAATCCCTTTTTAAGTCTGATATATGACTTGTACCCTAACTTTGTCTGAATCCGTTACACCAGTAACCAATACCGTGATCGTATACAATACTACGAACCATGAATTGTCGGGCATGTATAGCATGATTCATATATATATATATAAATCCAAGAGAAAATGGAAGAGGACCGGCCGGTAAGTGGTAACAAAGGCTACATGTGAAGAGATGAAAGTTCATACTAAAAAATACAGGCATCATAGTCACTACTCACTCATATATATATATATATATATATATATATATATATATTAATGGCCATCTACATCTTCCCCAACAGCCTCACTTCCTCCATAAAGAAATCCAAAAAACACCCATCTAAAATTCCATTTCTCTTCGCACAAACATCATGGCCTAGCTGTTCTTGGATCCGGAGATTCTGGGTCTTCCGATATATTTTATAACACCCATTTAAAAACCCATAACCCACAAGACATGATTTGGTTTCTCTCCTCTTGTCCCTCCTTCCTAGGCTCTCATCAAACCACACCTCATTTCTGTGCCTCTCATTGGAGTTTGTAGCAGCTAGCATACGTGTTTCTAATGACTGTTAATATTCATATTCATCCATGGACACTTCTCATCGTCTCCTTCCTCGCCATCTCTACTTTCTCTCTTCCGTATCCCTCCTCCGGCCTCAATCCACAAGGCGAAGCGCTTCTCTCGTGGAAGAGAACGTTGAACGGATCGTCGGAGGCCTTAAACAGTTGGAACCCTACCGACGAAACACCGTGTGGGTGGCTCGGCATTTCTTGCAACTTCAACAATGAGGTTGTGGAGCTGAATTTGAGGTATGTGGACTTGCTTGGGAATGTTCCATCCAATTTCAGCTCACTGGCAGCGTCCTTGAACAAGCTCGTCCTCTCGGGAACGAACCTTACGGGCTCGATCCCGAGAGAGATCGGTGCTCTGGATGCCTTGAATGTCTTGGACTTGAGTGACAATGCGTTGAGTGGCGAAATCCCAAGTGAGGTTTGCAGCTTGCCCAAGCTAGAGCAGCTCTATCTCAACTCAAACCGGCTCGAGGGATCGATACCGGTCTCAATTGGGAACCTCACGAGCTTGAGGTGGTTGACTCTCTATGACAACCAACTCAGTGGTGGAATTCCAAGCACCATAGGGTACTTAAACAAGCTTGAAGTGATTAGAGCTGGCGGCAACAAGAACCTCGAAGGCTCACTCCCCAAAGAAATTGGGAATTGCACCAATTTGGTGATGCTAGGCCTTGCAGAAACAAGCATTTCAGGGTTCCTCCCTCCGAGCCTCGGCCTACTCCAGAAGCTCCAGACACTCGCCATCTACACTTCCCTCCTCTCCGGCCAAATCCCACCCGAGCTCGGACACTGCTCCGCCCTGCAAAACATCTACTTATACGAAAACTCGCTCACTGGCTCGATTCCAAGGTCGTTGGGCAATCTCGAAAACCTCCAAAACCTGCTGCTCTGGCAGAATAACCTTGTAGGGACCCTTCCACCCGAGCTAGGGTACTGCAAGCAATTAATGGTGATTGACATTTCGATGAATTCGATCACTGGAAACCTTCCCGTGGCTTTTGGGAACTTGAGCTCGTTGCAGGAGCTGCAACTGAGTGTCAATCAGATCTCGGGTCAAATCCCATCAGAGCTCGGGAATTGTCCAAGTATCACACATATCGAGCTTGACAACAATCAAATCACCGGTGCGATTCCGTCCGAATTCGGAAACTTTACGAATCTGACACTACTCTTCTTGTGGCAAAACAGGCTCGAAGGGAATATACCTTCGTCCTTGTCGATGTGCCACAATCTTGAAGCCATAGATCTGTCACAAAATGCTTTGACAGGTCCGATTCCGCCAGGAATATTTGAGTTACAGAAGCTGAATAAGTTGCTGCTTTTATCGAACAATTTGTCCGGCGAGATACCACCGGAGATCGGAAATTGCTCATCGCTTATTCGTTTCCGAGCAAGCAATAATAAGTTAACCGGGTCAATTCCACCGCAGATCGGGAACTTGAAGAAACTGGATTTCTTGGATCTCGGATCGAATCGGATCACCGGAGTTGTCCCGCCGGAGATCTCCGGTTGCCGGGATCTGACTTTTCTGGATTTGCATTCGAATTCGATTGCCGGAAGTCTTCCTGAGAATTTAAATCAGCTCGTTTCCCTCCAATTGCTTGATTTATCTGATAATTTCATTGAAGGGACGTTGAGTCCGAGTATTGGCTCACTGAATTCGCTCACCAAACTCGTTCTCAGCCAGAACCGGTTCACCGGTCCGATTCCATCTCAACTCGGCTCGTGTTCCAAACTTCAGCTGCTAGACCTGAGCAGTAACGAGATCAGTGGTCAGATTCCGGCTAGTCTGTGTAAGATTCCGGCGCTCGAGATCGCTTTGAATCTCAGCTGCAACAAACTCTCAGGCCAGATTCCGCCGGAGTTTACAGCGCTGGACAAACTCGGCGTATTAGATCTCTCTCACAACCAGCTATCCGGAGACCTTCAATTTCTCGCAGAGCTTGAAAATCTCGTCGTCCTCAACGTCTCGCACAACAACTTCACCGGTCACGTGCCTGACACGCCGTTCTTCTCTAAGCTTCCGTTGAGCGTCCTAGCTGGCAACCCGTCGCTCTGCTTTTCCGGCAACCAGTGCGCGGCGGACAAGGGCGGAGCCTCAAAGCGCAGTGCGGCGGCGAGGATTGCCATGGTGGTGCTATTATGCGCAGCGTGCGTGCTCCTCCTTTCAGCTCTCTACATCATCTTAGGAGGTAAGATGACTTGGCGCGGTGGGGCCCACGAGAGCGACCACACAGGTGACGATGACGTGGAGTTGGGACCACCATGGGAGGTCACACTGTACCAAAAGCTAGACCTGTCCATTGTTGATGTGGCAAAGTGCTTGACAGCTGGCAATGTGGTAGGGCGGGGCCGAACCGGCGTCGTTTACCAAGTGAATATTCCGTCGGGTCTAACCATAGCCGTCAAAAGATTCCGGTCATCGGAGAAATTCTCGGCTTCGGCATTCTCGTCGGAGATTGCCACGTTGGCACGAATCCGGCACCGGAACATTGTTCGTTTGTTGGGCTGGGGTGCTAATAGAAAGACGAAGCTGTTGTTCTATGACTATTTGGCGCAGGGCACACTAGGCGCATTATTGCACGAGGGGTGCGCAGGATTGGTGGAGTGGGATACCCGGTTCAAGATAGCTTTAGGCGTCGCGGAGGGCTTGGCTTACTTGCATCATGACTGTGTTCCAGCTATCCTGCACCGGGACGTGAAGGCCCACAATATACTATTGGGGGATCGTTACGAGCCATGTTTGGCAGACTTTGGGCTTGCTAGGCTCGTCGAAGATGAAAATGGCTCTTTCTCCGCGAACCCACAATTTGCGGGGTCCTATGGCTACATGGCACCTGGTAAAGTCCTCGTAAATAAATTACATGCAGGCACATAATTTTTTCGTCTCAATTTAAATTTCGTCATTAAAACTTATGACTCATGACTTAAATTAAGACGAAATGAGTATATTTGAAATAAAAGTAATTGAAGTTGAATTACATAATTAACTAAGTACTTTAGTTCAAATTCTTATATATCACGCGGTAGTTTGTGTTTGTATGTGTTTCGATCACAACCATTGGCTTCGTACCTTTGCATACTAACCATTTTTTTTTTTTTTTTTTCTTTCCAAATTAACCATTCATCACTAATATATATATATATATATATATATATATATGCTCGTGCACATTTCTGGTACACATTTTATGACATGACATCCGCCTTGGATGTTGTATGCACAAAAGAGTTTGTGGTAAGCACAATCACATGCAACTTCATTTATTTGATTAGGTGGGGCCCATATGATCTAACAATCCAACTTACACAGTCATATCGGTTGCGATTATGCTTAGCATTCAATATCATAATTATTTTTGTTGCAACAAACCTAAATTTGACATATAAATGGTGGTGGTTGCAGAATATGCTTGCATGCTAAAGATCACAGAGAAGAGTGATGTGTACAGTTATGGGGTAGTTTTGTTGGAGATCATTACTGGGAAAAGACCAGTTGATCCATCATTTCCAGATGGGCAACATGTCATCCAATGGGTCCGAAACCACTTAAAGACCAAAAATGACCCTGTGGACGTCATTGATCCAAAGCTCCAAGGCCATCCAGACACACAAGTTCAGGAAATGCTGCAAGCCCTAGGCATCTCTCTCCTCTGCACGAGCAATCGTCCCGACGACCGCCCGACGATGAAAGATGTCGTGGCATTATTGAAGGAGATTCGGCACGAGTCCGCGACGAATCCCGAGGGCCACAAGCCGGCAGCCAAATCCGCAAAAAAGCCAGAGGATTCGTCGTCAGTCACCCCTTCTCAATTGTTGATCATGCAGGGGTCTTCCAATTGTTCACTTGCCTATTCTTCCTCGGCTAGTTATCTCTCAGGGAACCAATGACATTCGTATTTTATGTAATGAAATGTTGATCCCACATGGTAGGAGTTAGGAGTGTGATGATATTATTAGATATGGAAATGGTACAACAAGACGAGCCAAATGAGTGTATATATAGCAACATGACATTTTATTGTTATTAGCAAATTGATGAGGCTATTTTCCAAATCAAACTTTGTGTCATGTCAAATGTGATAAGTGTTATTATATATTGAGAACAGTTGTTTTAATACACTTTTTGCTCTTCCCTTCACTCTCTAATAATAATACAAACTAATACGCTACGTTTGAATCAATTTCAGACGTGAAGTTGAGGAATGTCATAAATGAATCATTTTGAATTTAAACTAAATTTTTTTCAATTCCAAAACTAAAATGAAAAAAAGTAAGCAAGGACTGCTTTACCACGGAGCCACTTTCTATCCTTCCAAAAAACAAGAGGCATAAGGATGTAATGATGGACATATGCATTGCTGTGCATGTGTTGCAAAGTTCAGAAAGGGTTTTCGAGGATGATTTTCTCTCCTCGGGGAAGAGAGAGAAAGAGGAGGGGGTGGGGGACTCCTCCCCCTCTGAATGTGTGGTTGAGAGGAAGTATGGGTAATGATTGTGTTTGTGACCCCTCTCCCACCTGTCTCTCTCTCTCTCTCTCTCTCTCTCTCTAAAATTGTTTTTAAGGATAAGGGGGGAGAAGCTTCTTTCATTTCATGCAACTATCTAGGTCCCTCACCACGTGAAATAGATACAATACAACATAACAAACAATTGGATATGCAAAATGCTAGCTAATTTGATGCACACAACTTCATGTAGTAATAATATTCCAAGCCCAAAGCAAACAAAAAAATGTCCTTTCCTCAGCAACCAACCTATTTTTCTTAGCTTGATATATATATATATAATATATATATATATTGCATGTGCAACCTCTACCTTTCAGTACTAGCTGGGGATTACAGTGACAAGAGATCGAAGAGACATATTCAATCTAGCTGTTCAAGAAAACTTTGGTGACCTCCAAAGAATAGAGTATCATGTAATTAAAAGGAATGGTCAATTTTTTTTTTTTTTTTTTTTTTTTTTTTTTTTTTTCATTTTTGTAGATTTAACAAGTCAATCAAGATTGAAATGGATGGAAAACATATATTTTTTTAACATCTACTTAATGATATTGAAATGGATGGAAAACATATATTTTTTTAACATCTACTTAATGATTGATTAATGTCTAGTTATTTAATTATACCTGACATAAGAACAACTTAATCGTACACCCTTTAACAACCTTTTATATACAAGTATAATCTTTAAACAAAAAATAATAATAATTAAGAGATTGGATTAGAGAGTTAGACCAGTCTAATCAAGGTCACAATCAATAGTAAGAAAAATATAAGTTCATGATCAGACAATTACTTGTACTGAATAGGACTTACATTTACATATTTTAAAATCAATACTAGCTAGGGTCTGTATTTTGTTAAGTTTCCCTCCAACAGAACCAAGTTAGTGACCTATTGATCATGGTTAAAACATGAATTCCATTTTTAACCATACTTGTAACTAAAAATCAATAGACAGAAATCAAGGAGACCACAAAACCTAGTAACAGATGGAGACAATTCAGGTAAATACCAATTTTCTAAAATAAAAATTGCAACAATAACAGAAATCCCTTTCTTTTGGTCTCTGTGCAACATATGGATGGATCACTTACCTTCTCCATATCCACATAAGGTGAAGAACAATTAATCATGTTAAATGCATCAATCACCAGAATATAATGATGTGGCAAAGGACTCTTAGCAGAAACATAAACCAAGTTCCATATAATAGCTGACCATCTCATGAACTGGGATGAAATCCTCACAATTGAAAGGTACCACTACTGATATATATATATATATGTGTGTGTGTGTGTGTGTGTGTGTGTGTGTGTGTGTATATATATTTCTTTCCTCAGTTGTACTACTGATATTCCTAATGTAGAACAGTTAAAAATCTTCTATGATACCAATAAACCTATATTCCACTATGAACTCAAGTATTGAATGATATGCATGCAGCAGTACACTGCTAGGTGCAAAAATCATGGATCCTAAAATGACCAGACAGAGAATTCAACTAACAAAATCCTAATAAAAATATTATCAAAAAAGAGACAACAAAAACAACAAAACAAGAAAAATGAACTTTATAACTAGAAGTAAAAAGGAAAAGAAGGAAAATGGAAAAACCATACTGGTTAATATGGTCGAAAATAAAGGATCTGTTAATAAATTCACATCAAAATGACTTCATATACGTGGAAATAGAAAAGCCATCAACACCAACACCAAGTATATGTGTGTGTGTGTGTGTGCAGAAATGTGCCAATGTTTGTTTGTGAGAATGCATATATAGTAAAACGCAAAAAAACAGACCACTGCAATGAAGCTATTACCTCTTTTTCCATTTCAGTAAATGCTTAATAGTTCAATCAATTACAATTTTCTATTACAAACAAAAAAACCTCTTACAGAACACCCTGTAACCAGAAGCTTACAATGATGAAATATAAAATCGAACAAAACACGATCATATTGGAGATTTGATCCATTCTCAGACACAGACGCGACCATGTACAAGGGCTACCTTACTTGAGAATTTCTAGTTCTGTTTGGTAGCACAACATATGCAATATAGAGAACTTCAAATTTTCTACAACTAAAGATTCATCAAATAGAAGTTACCAGTGGAACTGAAGATGATTGTTGTATTAGAGATGTATGCCTAACAATGTATAATTGTTTTTGCCATTGAGATTTGAGATCGTCAGACATCATTTTAAACTGTATACAATCAGCTTCAATGAATTGAACCAATTGATAACTTGTACTTTGTCCCAAAATAAGAAGAGAGAGACTGACCATTATGGCTACTACAGGAACTAAGACTGACAATTATGGCCGCTACAAAAGCCTCACATCTAATTTAGCAGTGACAACCAAAAAAGAAAGTATCCATCCATGCAAGCAAGAAGGAACCCTAAACTAATATCAATTCCCAATTTTGAAATAGAGTTGGATAGGAAAATAAAATTGGATAGCATTGCACGTCAGGTCAATCTCCACCAAATGAACCTATAGACATGACCATTAAAACCCAGTTATTTGCTCAATAGAGTGAATAATTTTACATTATCGTGTGTAATTTTATAAGTAGATTCAAATTAGGCACTGCACTCTTCTATCATGATGGAATTACAAGTGCAATTATGTAAAGAATACTGTTGTTACCTGATCTTATTCTGCATTCAAAGAAGAGTGAAAAGGATAAAGATCTAAACATTTGGTGCTATTTACATAATGATGATGGAAAGAAAAACTCATCCTCAAACACATTGTTGATTCCATTGAGAATTAAAAAATTTTAAAAGAAAAAAAGAAGAAGAAAGAAACAGAACTATTAAAAATAAAAAATAAAAAGGTCCTCATATTCTTGAGTGTGTAGTTCAATACATTTTTCAGAGAAGAAAAAATTTTCTCATATTACTAATTAGCCATCATTTTTAACAAAATTTATTTTAATATTTTGAAACTGAAAAATAAAATAAAAATAAGAACTTCAAAGTCGTGGAATAAATTCACAATGCATTATACTTCGTCTTTCCTTAAAGACCAAAGTATAGACTTTCTTCAATTGCCAATCTGTGTCCAAATTGAACAGTTTTGGATTTTTATATGTTTTTGTGTGTGTAACAAAGCCTGCTGTAGTGATTTTAATTCTGTTTTCCAAAATTATGTCAATTCATAGTTCATAAAAATACATAACTATATAAATACAATCCAAAGATTCAAAACTTACCTTCATACTAAGAAATTATGTCAAATTGTACAGCAATCATACTTTCAATAATGAAAATCATGATCGGATTGGTGATTGAGTCACGAAATATAATGCAGCAGTGCATATTTGGTTTGTTTAAAAAAGGGAACTGCATGGATTCAGATTGTCACTTCATCACTTCAGCCTGACTCTTTGATCACTCTTATCTTTAAGAAAACCATTAACCATGGATGGAACTCCATCTTCAACAAGTCAATATCTAGCCCCATTTCGTTTATGCCTCATGATATTCGTCATTGATACGTTGTTAAGGTCGTAAATGATGTGATATCACCACTTCCTACCATTGATGAATCGAAGGTTTTTGCTATAGTCAGCGAAGATTAAAGTGAGGAGGAGGATGGAGATGGACAAGAGATTACTTTCCTTTTGTCAGGATTATAACCTATTGTAGACAAATTTCGTAACAAAAGCCAGAATTTTTTTTTTACCTTTTTATAAGAGTTTCAAAAGTTAGTTTAGATAGTTTTTTAATGGTACCAATTCCAAGAGTAGAATCAGATTTTTTTTTTTTATAAGTAAAGATTGAATAAAAAACGATCAAAAGGGGAACGCATCCCTCAAAGGCTACACAAGGCCAAATAGGGCCTCTATACCCTCAAAGAGTCCAAAATATCAACAAGATTCTCCAAGGATTTACAGTTTTTCCTTAGAACCTAACAAAAAAAGAGTACTAATAATGGAGAACTTTAAGCAATAGGATTCTCCTTGCCTTCAAAGGATCTCCTATTTCTTTCAAGCCATAAACACCACCAGACGCATAAAGGCGAACTTGGGCCCCACTATACAACCTTTCCAAGCCTCTGGAATAGAAATAGAATTTGAACATATGTCAAAGGACAAAAAGGTAATATCACCTCTCAAATAACTAACTAACAAATTTGGGTTTCAAAGTCATGCATCAGTATTTTAGGGCATATCGCATGCACGTTTTGATTCATGAAAAAGATGTTCTAAATGCAGAAAACTGTTTTTGGAATAAATGTATTTAAACATGAAATTTTTACAAAAACAGTAAGCCTCGATCATTCGAAAATTTCCAAAACATATTTTTTGAAGTCCAAAATGCTTTGATTGAAGGCTCGATCGAACAAAGTAGTTTCAATAGCTGTCAATCGATAGAACTGTGCAATAACGGTTTTTGAAAATTTCTCTAAATCAGAATCCTGCAAGGAGTAGAAGGCTTAGGTTTCCTTTTTTCATTATAACTACGAAACCCTAATTCTTTTGGACACAAAGCCCTATATAAAAACCTCTAGGCTCTCATAAACATACATAAAGAATATACAGAAAGACCTCTACACACATTATTGAAAAATCATATAGCGAAACCATATATTTTGGAGAACGTTTTTTTATTTATTTTATAATCTAGCATGTTGAATCAGATGGTAAAGTTATTATTCAGAGTGTAAATTATCATCGTGTGGAGCTTACATCGTCATCAACACCTAAGTATTTTGTACAACAAACACATAGCTTGGATGACCAGTGGCTAAGACTGAAATTGCTAGAAAAGCATATGGGAGAAGAGCAAATGTTGTTGACAAGCTGAAGGACTATCTAGAGACTTTCGAGTCTTATTGTGTTAGGAGGCAGCTAGGTGATTCTTGGGATAGAGTTTGTTAACCTAGACTGAATATAGTCGATTTTGGTGTGATGGGACTCTGTCCCGTGATTTTTTTCCTTTTGGGGTTTTTCATGCAAAAACTTTGTTCTTTTGTTGTTTTACTAATAAATATAATTTAAAAAATCAAAGATTGTTAACCTATTCACCAGTTTAAAACTGTTTTGGACCTTGCACTAACTCTAGTATTAAGCCCCGAGTTCCGGTTGTGCACTTTTCAGCTTTTTTTTTTTTTGCTCAATAGATATGGATTAAATCAACCGGATGAGAGTGTGCCAAGAATAGATATTGTCTTGATAGTAGACGTAAAATGATTTACTTCAAATTAAATTGAATTGGTAAATCATTTTTATACATAGTGTTGATAGCACATCGGAACAACACAACTTGTGAAAAATATTTTTCGAAAATATATAACATCGAAATAAAAGTATTGTGGTCATTTCACACTGTAATATCACAAGACAGTGATATAACTAAGTTCTGGTGAATGGCCAGTGTTAGTATAAATCTTAGGACGAGACCATGATACCCAAACCAGGCACACGCATATCATGATGGAAGAAGAAGAAGAAGAAGAAAAACCCAAATTAATAACAAAGAAAGGTTTTTTACTTCTAATATTGATGGAATCCCCTTTTTTTTACCACATCATTTAATATAAGCTATGATACCAAAGGTCATAATTTAATATAACCAATATTAAGTATATTTTTGAATTATATCAACCATAATTACACTATTATATACTCCCTCAGTCCCAAAAAGAATGTCCGTTTTCTATGTCTTATATTTTTGGTATGGCAGTCCACTTTTGTGAAAGGGACGCGTTCCCCTTTTGAACGCCTTTTTGTTTAATTCTTCCTTATCAAAAAAAAAAAAAAAAAAAGAATGTCCGTTTTGGGGAGTATAAATTTTTAAGGGGATATGTGGGCCATGTATTGTCCCCCTGCAAAGTTACTAACTTGCTCTTTAAGTTTTGAATATTCAATTTTGAAATTTTAAACTCCAAGGACATATATGGAAAGATGTAAAATATATTATTTGAAAAAGGAAAGTGGACATTTATTTTGGGACAGCCCAAAAAGGAAAGATGGACATTTTTTTTGGGAAAGATGGAGTAACAAATTATGCATTTAAATCTGGAGAAAGAATTCAAGTACCCGTATCCAAGTTTTGGACACATTTCAAGCCAAGTTCCTGTATCCTAAGATTTGGAATTCAGGGAGAGCAGACAATTAGACACACACCCACACCCTATGGTTATCCCGGAGACTATGTGACATAGCATAAAACTAGAGGGCTTGCCTTCCAAAGTTCTCTTCTATAGTCATGTTTTTTTCTGCCAATTCTTTTTGAAGTTAATCCAGCCACCCGAAAAGAGCATTTATATAATCTCAAAACAAAATATATCCTTCATTACAACTTCATCTCCTGTTGAGCTTTGCAAGCATTCAAAAGTCTTCAAAATCACCTCTTAAGGTGCGTGTTTTAACATGATTTTCAACAATCTAAAGCATCACTTGACATTTCTAACGTTGCAGTTTTGCTGGGATTTAAACCAAATAAATGATCAATTATTTACATGTGTTTCTGGCTTTCTCATGAAGTTCAGTTTATCAACCTAAATCTTCTGGGCATGCAACCCAAATGCTCCCAATTTAAAATATACTCCATATAGCACCCAAAAATCAATTGCCCCGTCAAAAGAATTATTTTTCAGCCATCACAATTACTCCAACTCCAAGTTGGTGATAAATTATATCTACGGATGGCAATAGGGTCAGGTTCTGAACGGGATGCCCTAAACCTAACCCGTGCCGACTATCAATTCTTTATCCCATCCCCATGGCATGAATAGCATAACTCTCAATCCCATCCCTATGGCTGAATATCCCTGTCCGTACCCCCACCCCATCATGTTACCTGTTTTATACTATGGAAAAATGGAAACAATAGAGAGATGAGAGATGATAGGAAAAATATTAGTTGAGAATGAGAGGGAACTGTGAAAAAGGAGATACCTATATATTGCAAAAGTATATACAACAAAAGGAGAGCTCTTGAGATACATATATGAATATAAAAATAGAGACAGATCAAGTTTACTTAACTGCAAAGTCTGCCATGACCTTTATTGTAGAAGCTCTAGTAGCCAAGGAGTGGAGAATGGAGAGGCAGAGGACTTTTGAGACGATTGCAGACCATTAGAAGAGAGAGGACTTCAGAGACAATTGCTGGCCGTAAAATCAGTAGACGGTTGCCAGCTATGGTCTCACATAGGGTATAATTGTTATTTCGCCATATAATGACACAACCGTTCCCACCCACCCAAAAAGAAGGCAAATCTCTTTAAACCTATGCAAGGGCGCAATTGAAAATACTACCACTACCATCCCAAGTAACATTACAGGAGACAAACTGTGGTCTTGTTTGGCCTGTCAATGTGCCACAATATTTACTTCTAAGCTAGATTAAAACTCTCCTTTTGAGTTTTGACAACATCAACATCCTAAAGAAATTAACATCATTTATTAGAAATTTAGAACTGACTCCACTTTCAAATAAAAAAATGTTTACATTCCTTTTTAAATCATGTGATCCATTCCAATATCAAATCCCATTGCTAAGTCGAGGTCTCAATATTCACAACAGAAAAAATAATATTGTTTTTTTTCCTTCTTAGTATGTAAAATTTCATTAAAAAGCGCAGAAAGGAGAGTGCAACCCAAAAAAATTGTACAAAAGAATACATCAATGTATACCCTAAAAATGTCCACAAAATCCACTAACCCCTCTACAGATATTTGCATTTGCCCTAAAACCCAAAAAAGAAGAGAACTCAAATGTGTTGTTTCAGCATCGGAGCTTCCCCACCATTAAACAAACTCATATTTCTCCCACATCACAGGCCCCACCAAATACATAAGGACATTATCCTCTACGCATCTCGAACATGCCTCCCAACTTTACATCCCCTCCAAAACTCAAGAGCCTCCATAGCAAAACCAACATAACCTAATGCACTCCAACACAGGACAATGCAAGAGAAGATGACTCACTGATTCCTCATCCCTCTTACACATACAACACTAATTAATAACAATTTGACGTCCCTTCCTCAAATTGTCTAAAATCATTTCCAAAGCCGCTGTCCAACCAAAGAATGCCACCTCAGATCCCATGATTTATCCCTTTATAAGGTTTTTCATGTAAAAAAATATCACCTCTACTTTATTTTATTAACTACTTTATGTTATGTGATTGCAATTGAGACTTGAATCAAACTAAATGACCGAATTTTGAACAAGGATTAACTGTAAGTCAAAAAAATAGTTAGTTGAAAATTAATATCTATAAGACCTATTCACCTCCCCTCCAGTTCTAATTAACCACACACACTAAATCCTATTTATTTAGACAGATTTTTTTTTCTTTTGTCTCTTTTTGCAAAGAAGTGTGAGCTCAAACAACCTTTATTATTAATTTAACTAAATTTACATAGTGGAATGAATTTAGCCAAGTCCAAATGATAACCAAAAGAAGCCGTAAGACATAATCAATCATAATCAGATTATATTCAATTAATTTCATGGACACCATCTCCTACAAAAATAAGCTTCGCACTGTTCATTATGCAAAGAGTAAATATATCTCTTAATTAAACTGAAGAACAAGCTAATTATACTCATTGATCTAAAAAGCATGTAGTTTGAGCAAGCCAAGACCAACTGGAAAAGAAAAAAAATATAACTATACATAAGAAAAAAGAAAAAGTAGTGGTTTGACCCTGACCTAAGAATTATTTGGTATCAACAATCAAAAGAAAAAGAGAGACTAGGGCATTAGTCATGCTCATCAGACAATACTCAATACAATATGGTCGACGCGTAATATTTTATATTTACGGCATCATAAGAATATCACCATAACAGTCACAAGTCCAAGCACAAAGTTGAGTATATAAAGAGTAACATAAAATAAAAATAAACTAAGAAGTCTTCACAAAGACTGAAGATAGTTTATACCACCACTAGCCACATTCAAGAGGGAAAATAAATCTAGCATAAAACTTAAGTTTCAATAGAAAGACATGAAATAATACTACAAGCTAGAATCCAACTTGTAAGTTTAAGACATAAAGCACACTGTTGCTTCTCTTCCCAATATAAATACAGAAAGAGAGAATGAAGTAGATAAATTGAAACATTTTAACACCACTGCAGAAATGATCATTTCTCAAAATCAAGTGAATTAATATAATCAAAAAGATAAGTTTTGCACATCAATTATTGTATAACAAAATTATGTGTTCTTATGCTTTCCTATCAATACAAATCAATAACGAAGAATCTAAAATGCATAACAAAAGAAAGTGAGAAAATAATAACACTGAGATTTTCACAAGAGACCAACCTTATACTCTATTATCCTTTAAAGTGTCTTGCTGCCATCACAATCTACCACAACCCACTCACATTCCCAGAAACCGAGTGCAATGCCATCACAATATACAAAGAGATGAATTTTCAAATGGCGTATTGTGGTGCCCTAGCAGCCATACTAGTAACCTGAGCCTGCATCTGCGCAGCCCTAACTTTTGTAGACATGGCACGATGAAAAAACTGATCACGGGACAACAACCTCACATTCCTCAAGTACTGATCAAGAGGTATTGACCCTTCTTGAACTGCCTTATCCAAAGAATATATCACATCCTCTATGGCCAAATCGGATGCTGTACAGTCTATCATCTGCTTCGATAGAGCATCACACGGCTCGAAAGCATCATCAACATCTACATTCCCCATCATGGCCAGCTTCCCCTCATTCCCTCTCAACCACTCTTCCATAATATCAGAATTCATCAAAACCATCTGCAATTGTTGCTCCAACCCCTCCTTCTCATCCTGCATATGTCTCAACCCTTTCGAGAGTTGCTCCTCCCTCTGCCTCAACACCGCCTGCGCATTGAACAACCCCTCCATCTCAGCCTCTCTCGTCTTCCTCAAAGCCCCAATATCAGTATGCAAGCTCTCCACAAGCTTACTCATGGCATTCCGCTTAAACACCTCGGACGGATCCTCCGTTGCCACTGGTGGAGGCGGCCTCTGCAACCCCGGTGACGGAATCCTCCCACTGCTCCCATAAGGAGGCGGTGACTGCAGGTAACCTCTGGGCGGTGGGATCGCGGGTCGTGAGGAATTGGAGGAAACAATTGATTGGGTATTGGGGGAAGGAAAATTAAGATTGGGGTTAGGGTTAGGGTTGGGGTTTGGATTGGGTCTTCTCTGGGAATAGAGCGGGGGATCACGGCCGAAGAAGTGGCTCAAATTGCGAGCCAAATCGACGAGATTGGAGCTGGGATAGAGCCAATTGTGAAGGTAAGGAATGGAGACCATGCCTGAGGGGTTAACATACTGGTGTGGGCGTTTGATGATCATGTCTTGAGTGGGGTTGACGAAGACGACGGGTTTGTGGCGAGGGTAGGACTCCATGAGCCAGATGACGACGGGGATGTTGTAGGTGACGCTCTGGAAGAGCATGGGAACAGTGCCGTCGGCCTGGAGGAGGTTGACGGTGCGGCCATCGTTGTGGGTGAAGGTGGAGGTCTTGGGTTGGAGGCTGGGGAAGGCGTCGGAGAGAGCGAGGAGGTGTTGGCGGATCAGCCACTTCACGTCTTCCGCATAGGGGAGGGCCGAGGGACCTCGCTGTGAGAGGACGCTGCTAAGGAACTGCTGGGCGTTCGGAGATGATGTTGGTGATGATCCTGCCGGAGGAGGCACCATTTTAGAGAGAGAACGAGAGACAGAGCGTGGAGCGTGGAGCGTGGAGCGTGGATATGTGTGATTTTGGTGCGTGTTGTGTGTGTGAAGGTTTGGATGAGAGTTTTGAAATGTTTGAAGGAGTGCTGGGGTGGGATTACTTCGCAAATTCGTTTGCGCGTTATTTTAAACATACCATTTATTTTTGTGCACGTATAGACAACTAAATTGAAACAAGAGTGCGATGATGTGACATTTATTTATTTTTCTTTTTTTTCAAGAAATTTACGCTTATTTATTATAATATTGCTTTAGTGTGCAGTAATGGAATGTCCATTTCAAGTCACTCCATTCCCAATTAATTCTTTTAAAAAAAATTCCTTTATTGGGCTTTGATGGTATTTATCATGCACTTCTGGGACCCGAGACTCTTGAAGAATCTTTTTCATTCTTCGTTTAACTTCTTAAAAAACCTTCTAAAACCAAAACCACCACTACCTTCTAGGCTTCCACCACAATCACTTTCACCTTTCACCGCCAGCACCACCGCCACTGACTTTAACCTCCGCCCACCGTTTTCCATCACCGCCACCATCTTTCACCATCGACACAACATTCCTTTTCCACAACCACCACCACGGACTTTCACCGTCGCCACCACTTTCCACCACCGCCGTCATCGCCTTTCACCACTACTACCACCTTCCACCACCACTACTGCCATCACCTTTCACCACCGCCGCCACCTTTCACCACAACCACTGCCTTCCTCCACCACTTTTGCCACCGTCTTTCACCACCGCCGCCGCTTTCCATCGCCACTGCTTTCCACCGCCGCCATCGCGCCCACCTTCCACTACCGTAACCGCCTTCCATCACCGCCACCGCCACCACCACCACCGCCATCGCCTTCCACTACTGCCACTACCTTCCATCACCGCCAACGCCACCATCTTTCATTACCGTACCGCCACCGCCATCACCATCCTTCCGCCACCACCACCACCGCAACTTCCACTGCCTTCCACCACCACCACAGTCACATTCATTGACTTCCATCATTGTCACCTACACCATTATTTCCTTCCATCACCACCACCATACTACTGCCATCGCCTTCCAAGTTCCACCAATATCACTGTCACCTTCCAACACCACCACTTACACCACTATTGCTTTTTACCTCCACCACCATTCGCCATCGCCACTGACACCATTAATTTTTTAAAAATTATAGAAGAATGTCATTTTGTTAATTTATTTTATTTCTTACTAATAAGGATATTTTGGAGAACTTTAGTCCATTCTAAATTTTTAATTGGTCTAACTAAATACTAAAATTGTTATTATTATTTCATTACTACACATTTCATATTTACAAATTACAACCAAATAATAGAATGAGAATGCCCATTACATTCCTATTTCATCCTCATTCCTATTTTATTCTCACTAATATTTTTATTTCATTCATGCATACCAAATACACCATAAAAGTTTGAACTAATTCAACCGTGATAGCATATAGAACCGGTATGATATCAGCCTCCAACGCTTCAACACTTTTCTGTCTCTCATTTCATATGAGCTCTCTTTTTATAAGAGGTTCTCCACTAGTTGGAGGTGTTTGATCAGAGTTGTTTTGCTCTGTTTCCACTGTTTGTGGATTTGTTTTCCTTGGTTGTCTTTCATCATTTTTTTGTTTGCTTCGTTGGAGTTGGGTTACGTTTTTTTCTCATAGGGTTGTGAATAGAGTTTTGCTACTGGTCACTGGTTGTAGAAAGGGTCTGAATTGCTTGTTTTGGTGTTGTTTTGTTTGTCCTTGTGGGGAAGCTGGCGATATAGGTGTTGATCGGTTGATTGGAGTGTGTTTTCTCTGCTTTGATTTGTTCTTGGGATTTTCATTGCGTTTTGATATGTCATCTTTTGGTTGTTATTCTAGATCGCGGATTGTTCTTGCTTCAGGATTTTTTCTCTTTTTGTTTTGGTGGTGTATCATACCTTTACTTCTCCTTTCAGCCTCAGCCCTGATGCATTTTTTTATCAATATTTCTGGAGGGTTACTTGGTGTAGGTGGTGGGGCTCTGTTCCGGGGTTTGGAAGAGGTGATTCTTTTGTTTTCCGTTAGAGTTCTCTTATGCCGGCGTTCTCTCCCGATAAATTTCTGGTGTGTGTCTTGGGCGTTGTGTGTAGATCTGGTGGTCTTTTTAGCGTCTTTGATTTTTTTTAGTTAGATTGCCGATCGGTACCATGGCTGGTCGGTTTGTTAGGTTGTTTTGTTGCTACTGGAAGTACTGTGAGGGGTCGATTTCTCTGGTCAGCGTCGGAGTTGTCGGTTTGCCTGGTGATGCCGTTATGTATGACGTCATAGAACTTTCTAGCGATAGTCTTTGGATGTATTATGGTGGGCCCAATGTATATGTTTCTTTCCACTTTTACTCTGCTGTTACTTATTATCATTTACCATCTGCTATCCTCTATTGTTATTACGTTGATGTCATGGCTGATGTCCTGTATAAGTCTTCTTTAAGCTGCCTTTTTGGTTCTCGAGGATCCATGTTTGAATTGTTTAATCCACTATATCGGTGGCCTTTATTTGGTATTACTGTTACTTTTATCGATGTTGCTTATTTGATGTCATGAATAAGATCATCACCTGGTCATTTCAGTATTAACATTTGGCCTCTAGCAGGCTTTTTTCTGCAACATCTTTTTACTTATATGGTCACCTGCAGTGTTACACTACAAATATTTTTCGTGATAGGTACATTTTCTTTTATTTTTATACTTCACATTTCATTTTCCTTTGTGACGTGTGTGGCTGTGAATGTCTGGTGTGTTAGTTACGCTTCTTTATCTGGCCGAGTAGGCAGCTTTTATATAGTCAAGCTTGCGGGTTGCTATAGTGCACACAGTTTCTCTTGTTGACCCAGTTATATCTTAACTTTCATTTTCTTTCTGCACTGTTCTTATCATAAGTTTTTTTCTTCTTATTGTTAGGTCGTGCGGAATCTGTGGTAGGTTTTTGTGTGTGTTTTGTTCTTTTGGTGGGCTCTGGCATGGGTGATGGAGGTGGATCCTTCTATACTTGCTCAATTCCAAGGTATGATGTTGGCCCAAAAGAAAAAAGAGCCCATTGTGTTGTCGGATGATGATATAGCCTAGAGTGCCCAACTGTGTCGTTTTAGTCTTTTTGGGAAGGTATGGGCCTCCAAAACTACAACCTTAGTGGAAGCTAAGTTTACCTTTGGTAAACTTTTTAACAAGCTGTGGCCCCAAGCTCAACAACAAAAGTCTCTGACCAAGAGGTTGCAAGTGTTCAAGGTAGCACATAATTTGTTTCAATTGATTATCCCAGATGCCAGTATTCGTTAGCGTATTATTGAAGGTTGTCTATGGCCCTTTGATGGGCATCTTGTGGGTGCTTAAGAAGTGGGATGAAGGTTTGTTATGCTCGGATTCCCTATTTCATTTTTCTCCCTTTTGGATTCAGCTCCTTGATGTGCAAGCTAATCTTTTGTTTGAGAAAGTAGGGCGACAGATAGGCAATACCTTTGGTCGGTGTTTGAAAGTAGAGTTACGTGATAAAGGCTTAGGTGATGGTAAATAAAAAGTGCTAGCTGACAGTCGTGTTCTTCGTCTTCAAGTTGAGCTGGATATCACAAAGCCCTTTAGGCGCCATCTTCTTTTAACGGATCCGACGGGAGTGGAGTCTTGGGTACAAGTGCGGTATGAGAAACTTCCTACTTTCTGTTTTGCGTGCGGAGTTATTGGACACCATTGGAAATATTGTACAACTAGAGTTTCACTGCAACCTGGTGATCTTATGGAGTATGGGAGTTGATTGGGAGTGGAAGGTTTTATTGGGAAAAATCTTTGGAATATGAAGCGCGAGCTAGTTTATTTGGGTGATGGGTCTGGGAAAAATTGGTTGTATGTTGAAGACGGTAAGGTGGATGGCAAAGAAAGATCTGAGGGGTCTATGTCTTTTTCTGGGCTATAATGGATGTATGCTTGGCCATTTGATTCATGTGATTTGTTTGCTGTGCCTGCTCTTGATCCGGGATTGCCGGTTGGTGGATCTTTGGTTAATGTTGTGGTTGTTTTGTCTAGTGTTGGGGGACCGTCTAATGTGGGTGTTGGTGCTGGTTTTGGGAAATGCTTTTTAGGTGATGGGCTTATTCAGAGTCGAATTGGTATGTGTGAATTAGGTAATGGGAGTGGTAAGACTGATTGTCAGTTTGGTGTGCTTGTTCCTTTATTGGAAGGCTGTATGGTTCCTGGTGCTTCATCCCAAAGTCATGTGGCCTCTGTGCAAAATCGTTTGAGGGGGGAGAAGAAACAGAAAGCTTTGGGTGACAGTTCCTTACCATTGTTAGTAGACAAGGTTTCTACCGGTGTTGAAATTGGTATGCGATCTAAATCATCAGGTAACTCTGGGACTCAGCTTGGGGATTTTTATCATTCCGAGTCCTCCCAGTCTTTTGCTACTCATTTGGCTCTACTGGTGGGTGCTAATACTCGTACTTTTAATGATACCGTCTAGTTTGGTTGTTGTAAAGATCGTGTTGTTGACTTTTGCATGTGTTAGTTTGTTTGGTTGGTTTTGTAGCTGTTTTTGTGGATTGTACATATGAAGCTTTGGCTATGTTTTCTTTTAGTGGGGCTGGTTCTTCCACTAAAACTGACACATTTCTCTTGTTTGTCAGCCGGTGATCTGGACTATAAGGGTGTTAGTTAGGTTTAGTTGGTTTTGGGTATGTTGGTTTAATGTGTTTTTGATCTTATGTCTACGGTTACTGTTTATTGCTGGCATATTCCATATGTAGATGTCGTATGGCGTTTGGCGTGTTTTCTTGCCAGGATTAAAAAAAAAAAAAAAAAAAAAAAAAAAAACACCCCTTAAAGGGCCCACAAAAAGTTTGAACTAATTTAACCGTGATAGCACATAGAACCTTAAAGGGCTCACAATTCTCGCTTAAATTCTTACTACTAGCAGAACCATACCATATCCATTAGTTTGAGACCAAATCAAAATTTCCCAGCAAACATGCCCTAAAGAAATAAAAGAGAATAGTTGGGTCTGACTTTTCATGTAAAAATGTAAAACTTGACCTTATATCACGTTTCAATCCCAGAGGTCGCAGAAATTACAAAGCTATAAATAATTTTTAGGGTTAATTACAATAACACCCCTTAAAATTTGTTGTATTGACAATTATATATAAATTGGCCATTTTTTGAACACTCACACTCAGAAATTTAAGCCGAACAAGCCCTTAAAATCTATGAAAAGACAAGATTGCCCTTCAATAAAATATCAATTATTAATCTAAAATATCAAAAAAATTATATGACAGAATTACCTTTTTAAAATACGGAGCAATAGGTTTCTCTCTACCCTCTACTCCAAAAAACCCCAAAATTTTTTGCTCTTCGCCAATCCTCCTCTGCGTAGTCCAAGTAATCTTGTGTATACACACACACCAATCCATCTTCGTCAAGCTCTTCACTAATCCTCCTGAATTGGTACACAATCGAATCTCGATGAATTGATCAGACTGGTTGATGTTGCATTTGGGGAACTAAAACCCTAATTCGGCTAGGGCTTCTGCAAATTCGTAGTCAATGATGGTAGTGGCTGTGGTGGTACTGTAAAGGTAAAGTTTGAGTCTTTGAAGTGCTGATGGGGTTGGGTGTGGCGGGGTTGTGGAGTGGGATGGGGGTGTGTGTGGCGGGGCTGTGATGTGGTGATGGTGAGGTTGTAAAGTGGTGGTGGCGGGGCTGTGATGTGGTGGTGGTGAGGTTGTAAAGTGGTGGCGGGGCTGTGATTTGGTGGTGGTGTGGCAAGGTTGTGGAGTGGTGGCGGGGCCGTGATGTGGCAGCGGCAGGGTTGTGATGTGGTGGTGGCGGCGGGTGTGGCAGGGCAGTGGAGTGGTGAGGGGGTCGTGATGTGGTGGTGGTGAGGGGGCTGTGATGTGGTGGGTGTGGGTGTGGCGGCACTATGAAGATGAGAGGGTAGAGAGAGAGGAATTGGTGGAGGTGGTGGTATGGTGATGGTGGCTATGGTGGTATGCCGCCAGTGGAAGGGCAACCAACCAACCAACCACCCTCTTCTTCTCTCATTCTTTCTCTAAATATATATATCTATATATACATCATTACCAGATTCTATATTTATAGCATTGCTTCAGTGAAGAGGCTTTTCCGTCAACAGGTGTCAATACCTTCTTTAGCTACTGTCAAAAGACCTACTTTCTTTCTCCTTAGACTTCTATCGATAGCGAATCAGAAGCTTTCTCAAAGTGTTGAGCGAACTCCTTCGCCAGTCTCGCTCCATCAACCGCTCGGAAACGTAATGATAACGCGGAAGTTTCGAGATGACGACACAACTATCAGTCTCGGATTGATCATCTGGAAGTGTTTGGAATAGAACTATGAAAAAAATGTCAGATTTATATATATATATATATATGTATATAAAAGAGGAGATGATATATACACACACATGTATTCGGTGTATGTATACGGTTGCAGTGATGTGGCAAGTTAGGTTAATTAAAATTAGTTAGAAGGTTAATTTTGTAATTTCAAATCTCAATGATTTAATTGACAAGTCAAAGGGTAAATTTGACGTAAATTTTATACGTCAGGGTACAGATGTTGTTTGAGGGTGTTTTGTTAATTTTATTAAATTTCAGGGCTCTCATTGTTAAAAAAAAGGCTAACTTATATATGCCAGTCAATACCTTAACCTCATGGTGTCCTTGTAATTAACCCTATTTTTTATCTTCGCAAGTCGCAACACAGCAGAACCTAAAAATGGGTCTGAAAATTGGAGGTGAGATAGAGAAGGTGAACGGTATAGAACTGGGTTACAATGAATTCGTAGAGCGATACCTTGTGAAGAACCAACCTGTGGTTCTGACCGGACTTATGGATGGTTGGAGGGCTTGCAGAGATTGGGTGTCTGACAATGGAAAGCCCAATCTTCAGTTCTTCACTACCCACTTTGGTAATTCAACAGTTCAGGTAATTAATTCATTAACACATTTGCTTTTCTTTGCTCAACAATTGTTGCTGAAGCCTTTATTGCATTTTAGTTGGGTTTCTCCTTACAGTCGTACGCATTTGATATATACACACACACACACACATATTTGTATGCTTTCAAGGACTGAAGAAAACAAAAAGGGAATTTTGCAATAAAAGGTTTTTTTTGTGCTTTAACACTTTTTTTTTTGGGCATTGTGAATATGAAAATTTTGAATCAATATGTTTTCCCATGAATATGGAATTTTTTTTCACATATATATTTTTGGGGGTTTTGGGTTTCGGTTTCTTTCATACTATGGAGACGCTTAAAAACTTTGACTATGAGTTAGCTCTGCATTTTTTGTAAGTGTCATTTTTTATACTTTTATTATTGGAATATTATGTTTTGTATCAATTTATTTGAGGTGTATGGTTCTAGATTTGTATTATTTTGGGAATTTATTTTATTATTAATTAGCAGACCCCAAATAGTTGTGAAAAGAATTTGTTGAGTTGTTGTATGATTATTAGTAAATATGAAAGAATGGCAAAAATTTATTAGACATCCTTAACCCGTTGGGATTGATGATGCATGACTGTGTGGTAAATATCATACCAAATCCAAATAAATTTGTTCAGTTAAACGAGATAGAATTGAACTTATGGCAGAATTGGGAAAAAGACTTCATTTAACTGGTCCAAAATAGTTGGGACAAGCCTTTATTGGGTTGAGTTGAGGCAGGACCTAGAACTGTCCCTACAGAACTTTGTGATTTTTAGAATTGGTTTAATACATAAACTGAATTTCACAAGCTATTCTTAGTTCTTACTGCTTCAGTTTTGTACCAGACACTGCCACTTTCATCATGATCCAGTTTTATTTAAATTTGAGAAAAAAAACATTTAAACCTTCTGACACTGAATTTATAAGTAAAGTTCATTTTGCAAGAAAATACTTTATAAGCTGTCATTTTTGGTATTTTTTAAGGCACGGACCTTCACTTTTTCAGCAGATGACCACCAGTTTTGAACATTTTTTAGTATAATGTTTGATATGAATTCTGGAGATTTAATATTCATATATCATTATGAGTCTAGTTTTTATAATGGTACGTTAGGTCAGATTTTGTTGAGTTCTCTAAATTATTCGAACTTGCAAAGGTCAATGTAGACAAAGAAACCCCAGTGCTTGACTTATGTCTTATCTCCATGTTTTAAAATTATTAAAATGATAATGAAAAAAAGGTCTTAAATTTCTCCCAAGTTAGTATACAAGTATACTTTACCCAGGCTGATAAAATGGAATTCTGCTATGTGATCTATAAATTTTCAAGAGTTGATACGTCAAACAATTAAGATTTGAAAAAGGAAACTATAAGTCTTTAAAATTGGTTGCCAAGTCTTTTGATCTGTGAAGCACTATTAGATATCGATTCTTTTTGAAAACTTGCAAATATCTAATCCATCATTTGAAAATAGTGTTTTGGTTGTGTACACTGACATATCACTCTGACATATCTTTGGCAGGGTTTGGTTGCGAACTAACTCCCGTGCCTTCTCAGCAAACATACATGACATGTCTAGTTGAGTTTGATTGCACATTTCATTACTCCATAGACAAATACCCTTGTCCCTCCACCTGCATTTTCCAACACCTAATACTTGGTTATGCACTCTTGGATCGTGCATCGTCTTCTCCACTAGCAGACATCATTTTCTTTGCCACGGTTATATCTCCAATGAGGTTCTGTCACTCACTCAGTCATATCAGAATCTGTTTTCTCCTAAAACAAGACTCACTTGAAAATCATTTCACCATGATAAACTTCATACACAGTCTGGGTTAGGAACAGGGCCATAAGAGGCCTCTACAGTCCAGTGTGCAGTTTTTGGAGTGGCCCACCTTGTGATAATGCCATCATAAATCCTAGGAGTACTTCATTTGGTGGTTGAAGTCCATGGCTTGCCAAGCTGACTTTCCTTGAGGCTGCACACACTTTGACACAACTTAAAGAGAGTCATCATGTGACTACTGGATGACATATGCCCTCTGTGACATAACAACACTTTATGTCATACAATACGTATCATGGCAACCATTCATGGACACCTCACCAACAGATGATGGTATGGTGGATCACATCAGTAGCTTTTTTTGGGACACCCGACGCCACCCTAGTGTAGCATTGGCCACCCATAAGCGCCTTATTGCCACCTTTAGAGCCGCAACACTATCTTACTACGTAACAGGTAAATGTCCACTATACGTGGCATCTCATTGGAGGTGGAGGGATATATGGTACAAACCCATGAGACCCTCATGTAGGAAACTATAAATCAATCTTTTCATCTAACATGGAGGTCAAGATTCTAGTGCATTTAATACTTCTTGACAGAGAATTGGGAGCACTTATGAAAGTTCAACCTCTCTATACTTAGACTAACCCTGAAGGGTGAGTCCTTGACTCAAGGAGTCTATGGTGACCTTGATACTAACACCCTCTCTGTCCTCCTCCCTTATTTGCAAGTACTTTCATTTTGATAATTAAAATTTTATTAAAAAGCACTCCAACGGGGAGTGCGCCAAAAAAACAAATACACAAAAAGCCCAACAAGTCCCACTAAACTCTCAAGTTCTCCATAAAGGACATAAATTCAACTAAAGATTTACAATTACCCACTTGAACCCAAAAGAATAAAGAACTCAATATGGAATATTTACTGCCCAAATAGAAGTGTCCATTCCATTAAAAGATCTCCTATTGTGGTTATGCCACAATCCCCACCACATGCAAAGAGGAGTGGCCATCCAAGCATCTTGGGCTTGCAAACCCGCTTTACAACCGTGCCAAGCCTCAAGCCCTCTGTAGATCTGGAGCAACCGAATAAACTCCAAAGCGCTTGACCTAGTTTATTCCATCAGGAAACTCCATTACATTTTGTATAATACCTTAGTTGCTTACTCACCCTCAAGAATCCACAAACATTAATTGCAAATGAAAAAGCTGGAAGAAGGAATTCAAGGACTAGGAAAAAATATAATATTAGGTATTTTAATATCTTCTCATATAAAATTAAAATCATGGTCATTTGGTGATTGATCCTCGTCCAACTGTGAGTGAATAGCAATAGACTTTTGAGCTTCAGCATTAAGTTCTAATCCATTCTATCGACCTTGTGTGTTTGTTTGTGCATGCATGCTGCATGCACGAGGATCATGAATTGAAAAATTGGCTGCCGTGGGGCAATTTAGTCAAGTTGTAGTGGACTCTGCCAGAGTAATATCTCACTATATACTGATAGATCACTGTGAATTAAAATCACAAGGCATTCGGCTGGGACTCTGAGAGACTCAGGGTGACTAGGTGAGTGTCGGAGGGACACGACCGAGTCAATCCTTTTAAGTTGGCAGACCCAATTGTGCCCATTTTCTCATTCTCTCTTTCTCTATCAGCCCTCCCTCGCCTCTAAATTCATTCTAAATTCTAAAAATGTAAATAAAAGTTTGCAGATTCAATCGTGCCCATTCTTTCTCACCCTCTCTTTCTCTAACAACCCTTTCACTTCTAAATTCATTCTAAATTCTAAATATGTAAATAAAACCTCAAAAGAATAGGATCTAGGCCTAAATCTTGAAGCACCACTCTAAGCTTTCAACTGGTCAGTTTTTTTTATTTTTTATTTTTTTATTTTATTTTTTTTATGGTTTCTTTATTTTTTAAATCAGATTTAACATGCAAGTGTTGTTGGATAATTTATGTGTTTTGTGCCATAAATTTTCATTTTATGCCATTACTTGTATTAAAATGATCTTTCAAAAATCACAAAAAATCATTAAAAATACATATTCATTGGATTTTTTAATTAAAAGCTGCATATCCGTACGTTGTAGGTCTTATGTTCGCAGTTGAAAAAAATTCATGACCGTGACAACCGACTACGTCATGTTATGCCCAATTCACGCCTGCGTCTGTTTCAACGCATTGCGTCCTTGTTCGCATCTGTGCTTGCATCTTTGTACCACAGCGTGAATATGATATAAAAATAGGCAGTCTCTCAATTTTGGTGATTGATTTGTGTTTGTGTATGAAAAATAGATTTAAGATGGTGCATGTGCATGCATGCACAAGGCTTTAGCTGTTTTTCTGTCAGTTTTTGTTTGTTATAATATATATATTTTTGGATCATATTGGGAAGTGCATCCAGTATTTTTTCACCTCAACCTTCAATTTATACACTTCACTTATTACAGGTTGCAGACTGCGGTACTAAAGAGTTCACAGATCAGAAGAGAATAGAAATGTCAGTTTCTGAATTCATTGATCACTGGCTTGATCTTTCATCTGAGGAGTGTAATAATGCTTCAACTCATAAGTGTGATGACAAGTCCCTGTTATATTTGAAGGACTGGCACTTTGTAAAGGTGTGATTTAAAACCATATTCTTTTCTTTTTACGGGTATCAAGCCTGCTTTAAAAGATGAAAAATAATAAAGTGGTAGAATTATTATTATTATTATTATTTTTTAATCATACCTAGATTTGGTTGGTTACTCTTAATTAGTTGATTTCTTTTCTAGGTAATTGAAATTTAAAATTCAGTTAATGTTTGTTAAATTGATGAATAAAACATATTCACCCCCCTGTAGGTTTAATTGGGACATTTTTTTTTTTTTTTTTTTCCTGGTTGGTAGTCACACACACGTCTCTTCTGAGACTTGAATCCCTGACCTCCCTTTGGGACTTGTTCTCTCTGTCAGAGCCTAGGGTTAAGATCCTGTATTACTCAGGAGGGACCATAGGATTCTCCAAGGCCACCTAAATACCTGCATACTTGATATCTAGATATTATTTCGTTCTTTATGGATTTCTAAAAGCTTTGCTTTTATAAGTATTCCCTCACATTGTTATTTCTGCATGATTCTTTAATTTGGTTTTCTCAAAATTTGACTTTGATCATATGATGTTAATGTTTTTTGGGATTTTTTTTTTCTCCCTATCATTTAGTTCACGATCATTTAAATGTAAAAATCTTCACCTCGAGGGTGTCTACAGATAATGATCTCATGGTGGTTTCATTTTTATGTATTTTAATCACCTTGCAATGGCATTGTGCGCACTAAAATGAGTTGTCAATCTATGTATTTGTATTTTTTTTTCGTTGTGTAGTTATGATTTCATAATATTCATATTTGTAGATAAAGATATGTAGCCATCCGCCACCCACATTTAGACAAATATGACTGTCTAAATCTTTCCAATTCAAAGTCAAACCTCTTAACCTTTTATTTATTTATTTATTATATTATATTTTTGAAGTAGGATTCACATTGTAATTTTTGTTTGATCTTATGATGAGCAATCACCTTAAAATTTCAAGTAGTGAGGAGCACTTTTTTGATGAGTTGATAGCATGTAGAAAATTTAGACAATTGTCTGTCCTTGCTTGTAATCTGAAGTTTGCAGGTGGCACTTCTTGACATTCATGTTGCTCTCTCTCTCTATCTCTCTTACTTTTTAGTAAATTAAGTCGCTCTCCACCCTTGATGTATCGGCTGACTATCTTTGTTGGTATGGATGAGTATGGGGTGGTAGTTGTGTCCCATCAGACCTGTATGCTCCTCATTCCCCAAATTTGATCCATGGACTAGGTTTATTTGTCTCGCTATGGAATGGATTAAGTCGTTTACGGAAAGTTATAAATCAATGCATGGTACTTTGATTTGTGTGTCTTGGTAAGCCAGTTCAAAAGAAATATTTAGTCCTCAATGTGAAAAGGTTTGTGCGTAAGCTTTGTTGCATTAAACTCAAATATTTTCATATGAAGAAGATGGTGAACACAAGGAAGCATTTAGTAAATTAGAAATTTAGAATAGATATGAGGTGTAACTGATCCCCATTAGAATGGGCCCAGGCCAAAGCTATAAGATTTAAAGCAATAATGTTTGATCTCAATCTCAATACATATATTTCTTCAGATATGTTTGTGGTATTATTATTATTATTTTTAAGTGTGTTTTGCTTCTTAACTATCTTTATTCATACTACAGATTGAAAGCTCTCTTATCCTTTTTATAGTTTAAAATGATATCATTCACTATAACAAGAGATTCATATGGGACATGCCATCTTGTTAGGTCTTTATTTCACCGTTGCACTGGATCATCTCTATGGTGCATTCTGTTGGATTATTTCTTGCTCAGTTATCCCACTGATCTTCTCATCCTTCTTTATCTTTTTACAGGAGTACCCACATTATTTTGCATACACAACTCCACCGATTTTCTGCGATGACTGGCTGAATTTGTATCTCGACAACTATCGTATGCATCAGGATCCTGATATTTACCAAGAGAAGAATGAAATAAGTTGCTCTGACTATCGTTTTGTATACATGGGGGCAAAAGGTTTGAGCATAGATGCAACAAATTCTTTCTTGTAAGACATAGAAGTTATTTTTTCTCTTATTTATGAAAGATAGGCTTATTTAAGGGGGGGAAAAAAATCTGAATGATAAGATTTTATATGGCTGGTGATTGGATGAATGATTGTTACAAGCAGGAGTACCAAACTTTTGATTATGTATGCAGGAACATGGACTCCTCTCCATGCTGACGTTTTTAGGTCTTATAGTTGGTCTGCGAACGTGTGTGGAAGCAAAAGATGGTATTTTCTGTCTCCAACTCAATATCACTTTATGTTTGACAGGTATGAATGCATTCTCTTGCAGTAATTGATCTTTGGATGTTTATTTGGGGCTTGAAAACATACTATGACTTGCTGAAAAATTCTGATTACAGAGCATACAAGATCACCAGTAGTTACATGTCTACATTGTTAAGAATATCAAATATATTTGGTAGAGAAAGAAATGCAACAGGGAATACTCTATATACCTTAACAAAATACAATAGTTAAACATTGGACAGTTGTCCTCATAATGTGATTCACACTGACTGAGAAGTACATTGGACCCCTATTTATATTTCTAGCATACAATTCTAAAACCCACCTGGTCCACCCTGTTGAATCCCCTTAACAAAGCGCACACACATATATATTTTTTTTTCCCTTCTTCTTGATAGGCCTTTGTTCCTCATAATACCATGCAACAAGCACCCATTAATTTGCATAGTCTGTTAAAAGTCTCGTGTCTAATGTGGTGTCATCTTCCTGAACTATTTTAAATTTAAATCTGGAGAGCTTAATACTCAAACTTGTTTATTCAAGCTTGTTGCTCGGTGTAATCGTAATCTGAACAAGGCATGTGTTTATCAATTTGGCTAAGGAATATTCATGTACATTAGAAAACACGGTTGATGCGAGTAAGGACTAGAGCCCGAGGTTCTGATAGAGAGTGATGCCGCCTTACCAAGAGGAGATGATCAAATCGTCTTCACAGCAATTTTGAAACGAAATAATAGGACTATGCAAGAGAAAGGAGAATTGCAAAGAACTGCATGGCAAACTTTATTTGCTATAAAACTAATAATCTCTTCAACTTAATCACCAAACCCTAGCAATTACAAGGCTTTATATAAACCTTAGATTAGCTAACTACCAAATAAAAATAAAAATAGGAAAATTGCTGAAAATCAGAAAATTACACGAAATAAGGAAAATTTCAGGATATGGAAAGATTCTAAAAAACACAAAGTTGACTGCAGAAATTTAGGTTCTCTGACTGCATCAGTTCCCCCGGGTTGGAAAGAACTTGTTCTCGAGTTTGGCCACAAATAAAGTGACTTATAATCTGATGTGAGACAAGGTGAGTCAATGTGATGCAAATAATTAATAGTATCTCTAGTCACAATAGTGTCTTGAAAAGTGCTTAGTCAAAGACTATTAAATAGTAATTATGGTATGGGAATCTGAAAATGTCATGGGAATGGTAAAAGCTGTCATTAATTCTATTTGTGTAATCTAAAAGCCAGTCTAGGAAAAAGTAGTGTCATTAGTAGTTGGCTTATAAAAGGGACAGCCTCTTTATCAGTTGTAATCAAGTCATAATCAGTATCATTTGAGTTATTTTCAGAGTAAAACTTTTCTTAAGGGTTTTTCCCAGATTTCCCTTTCGAAATCTAGGATCCAACGGTGATTGGAGAATTTCTAGTCTTCCTTACTACTGTAGGAAGACTTCTACTTTTTTCTGTTTGCTTTACAATGTAACACAGTTTCACCTTCATTGCAATGCCTTTTGATGTGTAGATCAAATTGATGGAAGGTCTTTGTGTATTTCAATTTACTAAGATTTCTTAAAAAAAGGCATTTAAGGCACTGATGGTAATGGTAATTCCCTTAACATTCTCGAATAACCAATAATCTAATAAAACCTTCCTCTAGCAACTGGAAACTGTTGTTTTCTTTTGCTTCCCATATAATATGATGTCCAAAGCAATGATGATAAGACTTTGTACCCTCTCCATTACACTGGGTACAATCTAATCTGTATGTCACGTCCTGTACATGGAGTATCACCCTTTAATTGAATATGATTTCTGATGTGTGTTTTCAATGATAAAACTACTCGCAATAAAACAAATTCTTATAGGATAGGGCTAGGTTGAGCGTGTCGAACCTCAAGGACCGTGTTGGAATTGTTAAGTATAAAATTGGTTCTGATTTGACTCAAGAAAAAGATTGATTGGTGATTTTACTACTTCTAATTGCAAATGAAATTAAAAACCGGAAATAAACTAAGTTAAGGATAATATGATGTGTGTCAGTTAACCCACTTCATTTAAGAGGGCCAGTCACACTGAAATTATTGATCTAATTTCAATCTGATTGTTTTCTTCTTAATTTTTCAGTTGGTGACAACTTTCTTGGCACTACTGATGTATTTATTTATTTATTTTTACGCATAACAGCTAAGATGATCACATAAATAATAGGTAAAAACATACTGACTGATCGTTGCTTACCTTTGGACCTTTTCATTATATATCTTACTGTTCTTTATTCATTCAGGAACATGAAAGATTCTGTATATGACATCTTTGAGGATGTTAGTGAAACAAAATTCCCTGGTTTCCAGAAGGTAATTCATTACAGGTTACTTGTCCGCTTTATTTATTTATTTTTACGTTGTGCCTCTGCAATACTCATGTGTTTTGTTTTTCTGTGCATGTCACAACTCACATGTCCAGGCCATCTGGTTGGAGTGCACCCAAGAACAAAATGAAATAATATTTGTTCCTAGTGGATGGTACCACCAAGTTTATAATATGGTACCTCTCTTAAATGCTATTTGTTTGATAATTATTATTTTACTTTTAAATCTCTTTCATTTGTTTATTAATTTCCGTAAAATCTGCAATAACCTAAAAGGTGAAATTAAATACAAGAAAACATTCCAAGTGAAGTGGATGTTGTTCATTTTCCCCTCCCACCGCCCAAAATAAATAAATAAATAAAAGGCAAAGTTGGTGTACTAAATTAGTTCTTTTGAGTGGTTTGATTATTAAAATGTGGTGAGTTGCTTTCTGCTGCCAAAACCATTGTAACACAGTATTTACTGCAGGCATGACATCTATTAGGGAAGGATGGTCAAAAATTAAAAAAAAAAAAAAAATACAGTTTGTCAATATATATATATATATTATGAATTCCTTTTACCGAAATGCAAATGTGTTATTAAGCTCAAAAGGAATATCACATGTGACTCGAGTTCTTGGTAGTTGGCAGGATATGAATATAAATGTACAGATGTGTGTATTTTTTATGTGAGCTTTGTTCCCAATTTATTGTTATTGTGCTAACATCATAAATACATTCATAATATTTTCAGGAAGATACAATATCAATAAATCATAACTGGTTCAATGCCCATAACGTTTCTTGGGTGGTAAGTGGAGGCAAGTACATGGAGATAATGGTAGCAAATATTCTTATAAAACTGAATTTTGTTTCTTCTTTTTGCCAAATTGGTTCAGTGGCTTTTGCTTTTAAGGGACTACAATGAGGCTAAGGAATACATTGAAGACATCAAGGACATATGTGATGATTTTGAGGGACTCTGCCAGCGAAATCTTGCTGCTAATACAGGTATATTGTAATCCTAGAAAGAAATTTCTCTCGTTGCAGGACTATTTAAGGACATCTTTCGAAAGAACCTGATCATAACCCGTTCAAAACATCACGAGGACATTAAGGAAGGCAGTAACGTTGAACGGTTATATTTATCACTGTTTGGGTGTGTTGAATATGATGTGGAGCATCTGGACAAAAGGAATTGCTTAGGCAAGTGAAATCCCGATTTGTCATTGCCTTCATCACGTTATCAAGTATCCACAGTCAAAAGGATTGCTTGAGGAAAATGTTTACCTTGAAAGAGTGGATCACTAGTAATTGGGCAGAAGAGGAACAAGGTAAAAAAAAAAAAGGCACAAAAAAGGCACAAATTGTTCATTGATGATTTATATCAGACGAGCCTGCTTCAAAAATAGTCACATTTGCAAATTCTTAGTTGAAAAACCGTATGAAGCCCACCAATCAACTGTTACTTTTAACTTGCTATCACAAAATAGATATAATGATAAGGTAAACTTAAAAATTATAGTCACTCAAAATTGTTATCCTACACAATAATGCTTTGAATCAACCTTGCTATGCATCTATATAAACCGCCATAATCTCTTCATCTGCTGAGTAATTATGGGCTAAAAAGATACCTAGCTACATGTAGAGGTAGTGGAGTTGAATATTCCACTTCCAATCAATATGATTTTAAGGATTTCCTTGTACTTCTCTTCATTTTCCCCAAAAGCTGCAAATGGGTTATTTAGCCCTATCATAGCTTATTCCAAATGAAGGTGTAAGGGTTCTTTTGTGGAATAATAATAGAAACTAATAAATGAAAATATCACACACAAAGTGATTGACAATCCGGAGTAAGGAGAAGCAGACAGACCAAAGGGATTAATGGTGAAGGTAGGAATGTTTGTGTACTGCAATAGAGAGTAAATGAGATTCCGTTGTTGTCTTAAGCCACGGTGCTCTGCCCTTTAATGCTCAGTGATATCCTTATTTATAGTTCAAGATCTATTGGGTGATAACCGAGGGGTTGAGGCCTTGCTAGGTATTACCCGGAGCCTAAGGCTGAGGCTATGATTGGATTAGCCGCTTTCATGTGGCTAATAGGTCAAATCGCCTCTTTTCTGTCAGGGCAAGCAGCCAGTAAATGGGTTTCGGCTAGTCATTAATGGCGTGGTTGAGCATTAAATGGTGTAAGGGCTGAGCATTTAATGACAGCATTAAATGTTATTCGGCGTGATGGTGAGTCTCTTTGTCGTAGCACGTGGTCACCCTCTCTTTGGTTAGGCCTAATGCTTTGGCATTTGGGCAAGTTTTTGACTTCTTACCCCCCATTCGAAGATACTTCCTAGTGTCACATGATGCAATTGTGGGATGTGACAAGTCTCACCCATGCCTTTTGTCCCAACTTAGTCTTGTGTTTTGGAGTTGCTTCTTTGAAGTTATGTTTGTCCTGGGATGGTGTCAAACTTTGGAACCTGAGCTTCTTTTCATTGGGACTCGAGGTTTCTCGAGGGTTTGGACTTAAGGTTCGTTCCTAGAGGTTTTTGTGGACCTGAGACTATCAGGGTTTTGGACTCGAGGTTCGTCCCTTGTGGTTTTTTTGGACCTGTCATGGTTTTGGACCCGAGGTTCATTCCTTGAGATTTTAGTGGACCTGAGAGTCTCAGGGTTTTGGACTCAAGGTTTGTTCCTCAATGTTTTAGTGGACCTGAGAGGTTCAGAGATTTTTTTGTACTCGGAGGTTACTCTTCGAGGTTTTGATGGACCTGAGGAAGTTTCATGGTTTTAGGTACAAGAAGATTATTCTTCGAGGTTTTGATAGACCTGAGGAAGTTTTAGGGTTTTTTGACTCGAGTCTTGAGGTTTTGTTGTTATGTTTTGGTAAGCTGCCCTTATTGAGTTGGCACTTGTTGACTTGTCGTTGTGGGGCCTGCCACGTAGGCAGCGCTTGCTGCACTCCTACAGAAGACATCAAAACAAATTGTGCTACTTTGTTACCATGTTGCTCTTTCTCCCATTTCACTAGTGCTCTATTTTTCAAAAGTAAACATTTTCTTTAAGCTATTATTTTTATGATGGATACTTGCTAATGTTATAAAGGTAGAGGCAAATCAGGTTGTTGAAATGAGATTATGTTTTTAGAGTAAACGGGCTTGCTTGGTTTGTAACTCTGAAAACAGTTCTCAAGAATTCAGAGAACAGAAAACAGTTTTCAGAGAACTATAAAAGATAGTTCTCTAAAAACAGGGCTTTAGATAATTGAGTTTTAAAAAAACTGAACCAAGCAGAGTTTTTTGTACAATTTTCTATTTTCAGTTTTTTGAAAATAAAAAACTATTTTCGGAGTTAAAAACCAAGCAGGCTCGCACATTTCTTCAAGCTAATATTTTACTGAAGGTTGCTGAAATGAGATTATGTTTTTAGAAGTAAACTTTTCTTCAAGCTAATATTTTACTTGAGGTTGCTGAAATGAGATTCTATCATTCATTTATTTGGTATCACTTTCTTCCTCATGTTTCTTTTTTTCTTCAGCTGTTTTGGCTTTTTATACATCTCAACTTGTGTCTTATAGGCATGAATTTCTGCGATTTCTTCATCTTCATTGTTCGCTTCTCCTTTGCCAACTTGGTCCAACTGTGCCTTCTAGTAAGGGACTATGAAAGTTCCATCTGTAGTTCATCCCCAAGAGCACGGCATGTAGTTTTCAACCTTGAATCTGCACGCAAGATTGCTTTGAAGATGAAATCTACTTGTCTAGTGGGAAATCATGGCATCTCAATTGATTTCATGAGTAGCCTGGAGGATCCTGCATTCCTTGAATTATGCAGAGTTTTGGGAAGAACATATGATATGTTACATGAACAATGTGGACTAAGTTCTGATGTAACGGAAGCTATAGTGGATGATTTGGTGGACTTGGGTCTTATTGACTCTTCAGGTTCACATGTATGCACACCTGAAGATTTAGTTAGTTTGATAGACTGTGCTCTTACAAAACTTGGTGGCTTAAACTGGGATGAAAACTAAAGTTCTGTTGATTGAATTTAATGAACTCGGAAGCTCAGGTCTTACAAGAGAATCAACTTCCATCCATGAGGTTCCGGCATTTTAAGGGACCATGACAAATAGCTGATTTCAGAACTTCTAGAAGGTGCATCATTGTTTTGTGTGTGATTGTGTGCTCCCACAGTTGGTGATTCTGTCAGAACACGCCGTATTGTGCCTGAAAGGTATGGAGTTTACACATAGGAAGAAGCGGTTCTTGTAACAAGTCAACGGCAGGTAGGAAGCCCATTTTATGCATGCAAGCATCTAACCTTTTCGCATTATCCACTGTGATAGCACTGATGGAGCTGAACAAAGTTGCTGCTTCTGCTGGTTTACCATTATCTAAACATTCATTGATATTGTTGTTGTTATCATTATCATTATCATCTTCTCTACTTGAAATTTTGCTCATGTATTTTTCATTTTTGTAGCTTCACAAATTGATTAGATTTTGTGATGAGTTGGCAAGTCAATTCCACCCCTAGTCAAAAAAATATTGGAATCTTACTTTTTTACTTTGCATAGAAACTTTTACAGTTTACACCTGATGGTACCATTTAAAATTTGTCTTTGCATTCTTCATTCTTCATTAGTAAATTGTACAGTCTTTGTAATATGGTCTTCTGCTTTCTAGTATTTTGCCCCACAAAGTACTGGTCTCCTTGCTTTTTTCATGAAAAAGGCTCTTTAACACTTTAAAGCTTTCCCAGTTTTTTCATGTTCTGACACCTTTCTTTATTGTGCCCAAACATTCCTATCCTCAGTTTGTGAACTGTTCTGCAATATATTGCTAGACTCTCACTTTAGTTTCAGTGTTTTAGGTCATTTCGTAGTTTCAGTGCTTTGGGTACTCACTCCTTGCAACTACACTGTCCACCAATTAGAAGCTTCAAGATGTAACCTTGGTGTTCATTAGACATATTAAATCTACCTTTTTTTATCAGTTCGGCTGGAGGTGATCCAAAAGTGTGTTAGTGTGTGTTTGTGTGTATATATATATTTTGTACAAAAGTGTGTTAGTTGGTTTAGGTAGTGATTGTTAAGATTGACTTGAAATATTCACATCTGGCTTCAGCAGGGAAGGGCTTGTGGTTTGGTCCTGCAGGCTGCAACTGAAAAAGACAAATTGATATTGTAGAAAAAAAAGGTCTGGTTCTTGATAGTCAAATCATTTATTTATTAATTTTTTATGTAAAGTCCAAGCTTGGCTTAAGAAACAAGCTTGTTTCAATCAATAGAGTGGGTTGACTGTGCCTCAATTTTCTTAATTATTAGAAGAGACTTGTATTGCCGGCTAAATTGAGATGCATCATCTTATTTGATTGTTCTATTTGTTTGTAAGCAGGTGCAAGTTAGGTTATATATATATATATATATGTATCTCCTCACTCACATGCAAAGCCATTAAAAAATATCAATAAAATTGAGCTTAGCCTTTAAATAAAGAAAAATGTTTGATGTAACAAATCAAGAATAAAAAGTAAAAAAGAACACAAAGATTTACATCGTTTGCCGTAAACGGCATAATTTTATAGACCCGTTACTGGAATTTATGTCTGCAGTAAAGATTTGTTGAAAGACGGGAGAGTATAAGTTTCTATCTCCAAACCCTATCTCTCCCTCGCACAACCTCCAAACCCTACGGTAAATATTCGTTGAAAGATGGGGAGTACAAGTTTTAACCTCCAAACCGTATCTCTCTCTCTCACTATCTTTTTTTTGTAATTTTCAGTGTTCTCTTGTATCTCACTCAAAATCCTAAACATTTTTGTATATTGGGTATAAGAGAGCATTAAACAGGATTCAAGATCGAAAAGGAAAAAATGGGTCTAAATACGGAAACTAACATAACCCATATTTCGATTTACTACATTCTTGATGGCGATGACCGATATAGACTCTCTTGACTTTGAGCACATTGCAAGAAAGGTTGCGAACGTCTCAGAACTCTCCATTGCATGTGCACTGGCAATGGTGGGGTACACTGGAGAGGTCCATGAAACTACCTTAATCAATTATCTCTGTTGGGTTTTTCTTCAATTTTGAAAAGAATAAAAGGCAAAAAAGCTACCGACAACACAACCACAAGCCACATGATATAAAATACTTTGTATTTTTCACCCAAATTTACATATACAAGTAACCTCTAAGGAAAAAATGGAATGCAATTTGTTATCTAAAAATAAACAAAAGTGAAAGAAAGCACAAGAAGAACTAAAAAAAAAAAAAAAGGGAAAGGAAAAATTACTTTATGAAAGAAAATATTGCTTGGAATATGAATCAATACATGTATCTGCTCTCTTACATTAGAATTGTCTGACTCTATAGATTCATCAAGACATATAAAAATTACAAAAAAAAAAAAAGGTAATCGTCCACTCAATTCAACAGGTCAAACACATGATTTGGCTCATACATACTACTACTTACATTGGTAACATATTCCCAAGTATATTTTCCTACTCGCGTGTGTTACTAATATGAGTGATGATTGGGAATCTGACAGTCGAACAAATTCTATTAATTTTATGTGAGTAGCATAAGATATTAGTGAAATCATGATAATATCAACCTCTACTCACATAGATCAATCGTAGTTATTCGACTTTTAGATCTCAAACTCCGAATCATTATCCCACTAATATTTTAGGGACAATTTACATTCCTTCCGGGACCACCATAATAAAAGTAATTTCCCCAAACACTGTTTCTTCCTGCTTTGATATCATAACAATTGGGATGATCAGCCAAGAAGTGAAGGTTTGACAATGGAAGCAAGCTATTGTCCCAATCAACAACCTGTAAATTTCTGAAGTACGATGATTTCCCATATCCTTCATCTGCAAAATGTCCACTACCCATTTGTGTGGATGTGTGAACTCCCATGGATCTACTATTCACTATCTCTCCTCCAAATTGTATCATGCTTGCATGGCTCCTCAGATGACTGAACAAGAATGATGGCCAATACCCAACAAGTTCTCCTGACCCTAGTTCCAGCCACCAGTTTCCATGCTTTGGATCCTACACACGCAAACACATGCTGATTTATATCGTAAGTATCTATATTGGAGAAATTATTACATGGTCGTTGGTCACGGCCAATCAACACTTGACATCTAAGCAAAAAAAAGAGCTGAATAAAACTAACACATTTCTGACACATATACTGAGGTGTTAAGTGATGATTGGCTCGGGACCGTGTAATAGTTTCTTATCTATATTGTGCTTAATGAATGACATTAAAGCAGACATGTTGACCTTTTCCCATGTGGTGTAGCATTCAAGTGAATACTATCCGGAAGAAATTGAAAAGCAGAAAAGTAGATAAAGAACACGAGAAAATGCAGAAAGGGAAAAGGAAATGGAAAGAAAAAGAAGTTCCTTTACCCCTAGTGTGTCTGTGTGTGTGTGTATACACACACACACAAACACAAACACACATAATATACTATATATAGATAAAAAAGTTGACATGTTAGATACCCTTTTTAAGAGGAAAACAAGTGAAATTTTACAATTTATAATAAGAAAAAAAGGTGAGTGGTAGGGAAATTTTGATCAAATTGCTTGAAGAAATGTGCAGTGTAAGATTAGGCTGTTGTTGAAATATGCAAAGAATAAAATTTTCACCAACTGTAAAAACTACCATTGAGTGTTAAATCCTTCCACAAGACTCATTTCATATGATTTGTTACATCATTTGTAAATTTTACTTAAAACTCACTTTCCAAACCATCACTCCAATATCGAATTGTCCACCATTGTAAGATGACCTTGGAGAAATCGCTGCTCCAATGGCCATTTTACTGTTAGTCTGGACAAAACCCGAGCAGAGTAAGTTGTAGCAACCGGTGGCTTGGTAGGCGTCGCTCTGAAAATTCAACAGAAATCAAATATTCTAATCTTTTGTGAGTTAATTATGCATATAATCTTTTCATGGGAAAGAAAAGGTAAAAAAAAAAAAAAAAAAAAAAAAAAAAAACACACACACACACTTACTGTCCAGTAAGTGAAGAACCTGGGATAATTATCTCCATATAACTCTGGGCTAACCTGAAGAATGATGTAATGATATTAATGGTTTATCACTGCCATGTCAAGCTAAAAATTTCACACTCATTCTATGGAAAAATAGACTGACTCTAATTTAGGAATCAGAAAAAAACTAGTTAGCTTCTTCATGATTGTAGCTTAGTAACTAGTATTTACATATAAAAATCTATTGTATCAACACTGATGCTTGATAGGATCTGATCAGCATATATATGTATATATATATATATATATATATGCTATATATATATATTTCTATAACAATTATAGACTTGCCTGCCAACCAGCTTCAATGGTATTAAGATCATTGTCAAATGAGCCAGAGATGATCCATAACTGTGACAGGCTGAATTCATATCGATCAGTTACGCGGGGTGTCCACACGTTCATGCTGGCCTTTGCTCCATAATACTGATCTCCATTCACAAAAGCGACTGCATGCTGTAATTTGAAAATTATCAAAAGATATCAAAACAATAACCTATGCATATACTTACACAGATTTTTTTTTTTTTACATTAATTATATTAGAATATATATTTTTTGAGGAACTTTGAATGTTTTATCTTACCATAAAGTTAAATTAATTTGTATTTCCTCAAAGTAGGTATTATTACAGAGTTGTCTGATAATTTCAGTGCAATACGTACAAGTGACCTAATGTTTACAAGTCTCTTTTCCTCCAACATTGCTTCTCCAAAACACTGTTTGGTTGCCGAGAAAATAAAGGGAAATTAGATTAGCCCTTAAAGAGGAGAGTCATCTCCCTGGTAGAGTTAAAGGGAGGAGTAAAGAGGGCAATGACAAGATAGATATATTTTACTGATGGGAAGCTTTTTACCTTCTTTTTTTTTTTTTTTTCCACAAGAAAATGAAGTTACTAGATTTTGGTTTATGTCTACATTGTGTCCAATGGCAAAGTTATAACATAAAAATATAGGCATTCCATATACTAACTTCATGATCACTGCTCATCGTGTCACGCCTTACGCCTCTTCTCAATTTTCTCCCAAATCTTCTGATTGAGCTGGCTCGAAGAACGTCTCTCTCTGTAGCTCTTCTGATTGGAATGGTGTTTTCCGGACATGATTGGCCAGAACTTCCCCATAGCTGAAGGCTTTCTGTCATTGCATCCGCGGAGTCATTACCTCTCGGCCTCTCAGGTTGTTCCTGCATTTACCAAAAAACTGAAGTCCTTTAATTTAATCCATAACCAAAAGCACCAGACATGGTTTGTTTCAAAAGAAACTATTTTTCTTGGAAATTTTAATAGATTTTACTTTTGGTCTTCCTGTATTTTCTTGGGTTTTTCTTCAAAAAAATTATTTTCTATAGAAACAAACAGAAAACATTTTCTCACGTACCAATGGCTTCTGTCCTCTGAGCTGAGGATGGTCAAAAGCCGGCTGAAGATGAGATAAAACACAATCAATCACATCACCATCAGGACTCTGCAATGAAAAAACAACACAGCCCACATTATAAAACCTCAAACACAAGAAGAAAATATCAAAGTCACAAGGAAAAATACCATGGAAAAGAGAGAGTGCCTGAATTGTCTTGACTGCAGGCTTGTTGATCTTCCCTAGATAAGCTCTTGCTCTCTTCAGCCTCTGCAGCTCTTGGCGTGGCCGGAAAGTTTGGTTGGCCGCCAATTGGCGGTGGTGGCGTGAGAGGGCAGGACTAAGTGAAGAAAGAAGAAGAAAAACAACAAATAAGAAAATGGTAGGAAGTTTCTGTTGAGATGTAGAAGACATTCTTCTAAAATGTCTTAGTGTGCTTGTTTGTTGTGTTAACAAGGCTTTTGTATTTGTATGTATTGGTGTTGTCCTGTACTGTGATCAACTACACAACAACATGATTTATTCTATGGTTTTGTCCATGGAAGAAAACAGCATCTATAGACAAGTCAATACAAAAGAGAGTAAAAAAAAAAAAAAAAAAACTATGTCTTCAAGGGGAGGACTTGACCAATGCACTCTCTAACTATTTTTGAAATTTCAAAAATACCCAAATGGACAGATAAATTTTTTTTAAAAAAAAAACTCTTTCCTTCTCAATAAATTACATGGCATGCTTAGAAAGTAAGCATTGTTTTCTTAAATTGAGAATATTATATTTGCTATTTTAATTTATTTGACTTGTGCTTACCTGTATAATTGAATAAGTATGGTTGACTGTTCAAGCATGAGATGCTCCAGTGATTTTAGTACTATATCTTACTTAATTACCAATAAATAAACAATGTGTGTTTCTTAGTTTTGTTAGGGTGATCAAGTTGTTGAGAACTTAGAACTTGGAACAGCCTCTATTGGACTACAAAAAATTCCTCTATGAGTGGCAGCCTCTTCTCTTGGGATCGAATTATGAAGGGGTGTTTTTGCAAAAGTGTAAGGGTTTACAAGTTTTTTTTTTTGGTGGCAAAAGTGCAAGTTTTGCAAAATTGTAAGGGTTTATTTCCAAAATTGAAGTAAATGGGGCTATTCACAAATGCAAGAAAGTTTAGGGTGTTCTGCATTTTGCATTTATGATAAAGAAAAAGATTATGGAAATGTTGAGGGATCGATAAATTAAACGAATTCTGCAAGTAGAATCATAAAGTGAAAAATAAAGGGGCTTATTGAGTTTGGTCCTTAAAAATTGAAGAATACTTTCTTAAAGCATGTTGTTTTTTTGAGTTTTGATCAAATTGATAAGTATCGAGACGTGAGTTCAAATTTAAGAACAGTTACTTTGCGCAAAATAATGAAAATAGTCACATTTATCTTCCATCTTCACCCTCATAACACCTTTGCACACTTTTGCAACGTTTGATAGTGAGTTTGTCTATTAGTGATTTCTTCTATTGGAAAATATTAACTTAAATTATAAGACACTCCAAATATAACACATCAAATTTTAATTAAATTTTTAATAAGGTTGGATAGAACAAAGACATGCGTACTAAATCATAATTGGGAAAGTACACTTTCATAATTTATTTTTAGTAAAATATCATTAACATTTTCTTTTATTTTAGGGTAAAAGTGCCACTAAGACCTAAGACTTGTTCCTAAACTCTTTCTATTAGTAGCCTATTAAGCTTCATTATTGTTAATTTTTCTTTGGGCGAAAGCTTGATAAGCCTAATTGTAGTTAATGGGTAGTTAAGAATATACTCATTATATTGCCTATAATGCCCTTAGCATGTGGTATGCCACTAGCTAATTTGTTTGTGACCACCAATAATGTTTGTGCCCTAGCTTGCACGTGTTCTCTTTTTTTTAGACTGTTGAACGATGGTGCTTCCCACTTTGAGAGGCTCTCCTCTAGTTGATATTATTTCTTTATTTCTCTCTTCTTTTCACAAATACCCACTAACATTCTCATCCCACTTCTGCAGCAAAAAACAAAGGAGACTGCTAAAGGAATATTGGCCCATAAAGTGTCAATTCTCATTAAAATAATATTAGGGAAATTGATGTTGAGTTATATAAATGGTACCAATACCATGCCCCTTCTGTAAAGTTGGTTAGGGAGAATAGATTCCCTCCCCCCCCCTTCCTTTTTTTAAACTCATACAACTATAGACTCTTGTCCTTATCCACACACGCACAAACACTATAGAGTATTTGTTTTGTAAACTTTGAATTAGTGATATAATTAACACACATTGAGGAGATATGATGCTGTGAGTTATGGCAATAATGATATTCAAATTAAAGTTGTTCTGATTATATTGTTGTAGAAAGGTTGCTAACTATGCTTGCCATTTTATTTTTTATTTATTTATTTATTTTTCAAGTCAAGAAATATTATATATTAGATTAGTAGGTGTATATGGTCGAAACTTGACACTATAAGATTCACGGGAGATACTAATCCATTGATTTATCGAGACAATTGCAACCATGCTTGCCTCTCGATGCAGATACCATCTAAATTTTAAAATAAATAAATACAATGAGAGAGATTGAAAAAGAAAGGACTGGAGTTCATAATGAAATAATCATGAAGGGTTTCATTAGAATTAGATGTAGAGGCACTTGAGGTGACCTCAAGATTGGATTGCTTTGATGTTGATTTTGGTGTTATTTGTTTTAATAACTGCATCATTTTTTTTTTTTTTAAAAAGGTGGGAACCATGGAAAGAGCAATTTTATGGACAACAACCACTATTCAATCTCATTCTGATGGAAGATATGAATCTCACCAGTGGTGAAGCCACATAGCACTGAATTTTTAATTTTTTTTTAATTTTATATGGAAAGATTTTTATGTTTGTATAATTGCCCAATCTAAAATTTGACAGTGCGCGCGCACACACACACATAACCAATAGCCCAATTCACCATTTTACACCAATATATATATATATAATCATGACACAATTGTAAATATATATAATATATTTATCAATTTATCACTTTCCATATTTTTTCCACTTTCCCAAAATATTATATTCTTTCTCACTTTCCAAAAAAAAAAAAAAGTATTTCATCGTGATATTCTTTTTTACTTTACCACAACAAATGAATTGTTTTCATTACATTTTCAGTTTTCAACATTTTCCATAATCCAAACAAAACAAGCGGAACAACTATTTACCAGTAGATAGAGACCCAATGTGTAATTTGATTTTTTTTTTTATCATCTAAATTTACAATTATTATTTGATATTATAATTTTAATTAGAAAAATTATTAGTTATTAGTATCAAAATTATTTTAGGGCTTCTTGTTCTTTCAAAATTTAGTTTGTGTAATTGTGTTACTAATTATTATACTCTAAATAAGACTTAGAAATTTTTTTTTTTTATTTGCAGCCCAAATCAATGAAATCACAGATTCATTTACTCTATCAAATTTTCTGATTGATTGGATTATCTGGTTATAAATTATAAGGTTAGATTTGGTTATCTTTTTACATATGTGATACATTAGAATAGTTAGGTAACTGTGTTATTTATTTATTTATTTTTCATATCTTATTATTGATTCATTGAATATGATTTTTTTTTAGTATATTTAATTGAATGAACTCAATTTTGAAACAGCAATGAATAACCTGGAATTTCATCGTGAATATACTGAATAGAAATATTATGAACCAATGTTTTAATTTTTACATATATTATTTTTGTTCAAACTATATATATACATATTACTATTAAAAATTGTCCACCAGAAAGAAATTATTGGCTACACCATCGAATCTCACAATATTGTAAATATGAATCTCAAAATATTGTAAATATGAATCTCAAAATATTGTATAAATATGTGTCAGTGCACATTTGTCCACAATACAATTATTGTTTCATTTGTTGTTAGAACAATCATATATAATCAATCATCTTTCTTGAAGAGCATAACCAAGAGTGAGAGAAATATGATAATCTATTAAAAAAAATTAACTAAGAGAATATGATTATCTAGTTATTAAGGATATATCTCAGATATAGGGATGGCAACGGGGCAGGTTTGGAGCGGGTTTTCCTAAAGCCTGCCCCACTCCTTTTAATTTTTGTCAAGTTTATGCCCACCCCGAGACCCGCGACGGATTGGATTTTCATGTCCAGTCCCGCCCCGTTGGTAAATACTGTGCCCTCGTGCCAGCCCTGCTAAAAAAATTTTTTTCCTACTTTTTGAAACTTAAGCTCCTGTTATTTAAATATGGAAAGCCTAAGAATGGCACAAAATAAATGAAATTATGTATCCCAACAAAAATAAAAAAATAACATGCACGTAACATAATTCAGATAATGTAATAAACAAAAATAAAAGTTTAATACAACCAAATCATAAGAAATTCTAAGCTCCAACTTCTACCATAATCAAAACAAAAGCAAATTTAATACCAAGTTTACATCCCAAATTAGGATTGTAAGAGATGAGTGACCAGGAAAACCGCTAAAATAAGTTATTAATATTATATATATATATATATATATATATATATATATATATATTAAATATAGTTATATGTTTAGCAAGTCGGAATGGGGCGGGGCCCCTAGGATATGTATATTGAACCTTTACCCGCTCCGTGACCCGCGACAGGTACAAAATTTGTACTCATGCCTACCCCAACGGTATAAAAAGTGTTCTTATAGCCGTTATTAACTGAGCAAGACGGGACAGGGCCCGACGGGGTGGTAAGAATTGACGTCCCTACTCAGATAGGGATATATGCGTATGCTAATGGAAAATTTCAGACAAGTTGGGATTTGAGGTCCACTCCTTTTTTATATGCTTCATTGACAAATGCATATAATTTGAGGGATTCATACCATATTAGGGAAAAAAAAAATCTGTCTTTTGAGATTTCCTAGTGTGTAAATACATATATACTCACATATGTATAACTATATGAATGTATATATATATATATATATATGAAAAAGGAACTTTTGAGGGTGCTCTTTCTAAACTCGCACATTCTCTCCATCTAATGGTAGGAGAGGGCACCAGCTAAAAAGAAAAACTTGGTTTTGTGTGTGTATATTAATGTATACCTATACATATAGGTAAAGAATGTTTTTGGTAAGGCAATTCAGATTATTCACTTGAGCACTATTTAGTTGGAAAAAAAAAAAAAAAAGGAGTTGAAAAAAAAAAAACTTGGGCACTATTTGTGTTGTAGGGTTATGTTGAATAGTAATTGAAAGTATGTTTAATACCAATATATTTTGCAAGATTTTTGAAAACAAATATATGTTTGGTAAAAAAATGTTACAAATTTGAAGGAAAAAAAAATGACTAAGTTAAAAAAAATCATTTAAGAGTCTTTTTTATATATTATTCATCGCTACAGTATTTTTGCTACAATGCAGAAGCAACTGAAAAGACTAAATTTAGTGTTTCCGGTTTTCACCTCTTTTTCGGAAACGTTTCGATACCATTCAAATAAACGTTACTAAAAACATGATTCCGTGTTTTGCTTCTCTACAATATACCATCCGAAACAAAAACAACACAAAGCAAAAGCGTTTGCCAAACAAGATCTTATAGGAGAAATTACTTTAAAATAGTCTTGACCTTGTGATTCAATTCAATCAAAGCTCTGAAACTAAAATAAATAAATAAAAGAAAAAAGTGAATTTATAATAAGAGTTCAATAAATTATTACCAAAAAAAAAATTAATTTTAGGTCATGTTGGCAAATGATGGTAGACAAAGCACGCGGGTTTTGGGAAGGTGACATTTGTTCTTAGTAGTACTAGCATGCTTCTATGGTCCTTCAAGAATGTTTTTCTTTTCTGCAGATGGTGATGGATCATCTGTTATGGATGTTGAAACCAAATGATATTATCTTTATTATGTTATATAAAAAATGTTTCACCTTTTTTCACTATCTTTATAGAATATAAAAGCTGTTGAAACCAAATGATATTATCTTTATTATATTATATAAAATGTGTCACCTTTTTTCATTATCTTTATAGAATATAAAAGCTGGAAAAACTGTTTGCTTCATAAAAGGGCCAACAAGTGTAAGAAACTATGAAATGAGTTCCAGCTATTTGCAAAAAGGTTATAATTGGGTATTTTGTTTTATATGGACTTTAACAACACTTATGTATGCATTATTTGTTCTTTGATTATCTAAAAATTTAAAAAAATTGAGTTCAGTTGCTCTAATTGTCCAAGCCCAATAACATAGATTGAGTTCGAGTTGAAATTTTCTCCAATAACTTTGTTCAAACCCAACAACTAATCTCCAACACCTTTGTCCAAGCTTGGATTGGGTTCGGGACAACCCAAACCCTATGTTGATGCTTCAATGCCAAATTGTCAATTCTTTCTTCCAACTCCAAATTGTCAATTAACTATTCCACCCTTGAATGCCACAATTATAAGACCACTAAAACAATTATATATTTTGCATATCTAATAATTAGTCCTTGGTAGAAAACAGCATCAGGAGGAAGTAGCTTGATTAGCCCGCAATGAACATTCTTGAGTAAATCATCAAGAATAGTTAGTAGAGCGTCCAACTCTCCAAACAAGTATGTCTGTGTTCGAGTTTCCCTCCCCCTCCTTAGGGCCGGCCCTAGGCCTAGGCGAACCCCTGGATCACCTAGGGCCTCCAATTTGGGTCCAAAACTTTGTATTCCTAGTCAAAATTTTGTATTACTAGGGCCTCTCAAAATTTTAGGTCTCTTGGGGGGCCGACCCTGACCCTCCTTTGCCAATATTAAAAATAATAATAATAATAATAATACTAAAACATCAAGGAGAGGAATTTGATTCTATACCCCCATCTCTTTTCCTAAGGAATATTATCATTGCATCCCCACTGATAAACTGTCCAAGATTTTTCAAAGCAAGGAATCATTTTTCAACTATGTAGAGAAAAAGAAAAGGAAGCAATAGGAAGTTGATTAAGACATTCAATAATTGACAACAACAAATCTCTTTTTGCAATTGCTTAATATTTACTATTAAGGATTGCACCAACCTTGTTCTATCAGTCCTAGAACCTGGTTTCATCCCAGGAAATCTCTGCCAACACATACCAATTCAATCCTGAAGACACAGAGAGAACAATGTCATCGATGACGAGGGGACGTGCAAGAGCAACAGGGGAGGCCTCCTATAATGGGATTGTTCGTCGAATGGTGAGCATCCCTCAGAACATAATACGGGGCTTTTCAAGAGCAATGGGTCATGGAATAGACCTCATGGGTATAGGAGGAAGAAGAAGCCAATACCTGCCATCTATTTTTCCATTTCAACATCCACAAGAACCTGTAATTGTGCAAGAAGAGCGGGCTTTTCTAGCCAGTTTCGAGCAGCAGTATGGAACCATGCATCCTTGCTTCTACGAGTGCCGGTTCATGGAAGCTCTAAAGATAGCACAAGATGAGCAAAAGTTCATGTTCATGTACCTCCACTCACCAGAACACCCCTTCACACCTCCTTTCTGTAAGGAGACCTTGTGTTCAGAGCTGGTAGTACAGTTTATTGATGCAAATTTTGTCTGCTGGGCTGCACTTGCAAATAGAGGAGAGGGCTTGCAGATGGCCATGACATTGCAGCCTGCCAGCTTCCCATTCTGTGCAGTAGTGGCTCCTGCTTCTGGTGACAATATGGCAATTCTGCAACAGGTAAATTTGGAACTGGATAATAAATCTGCTATTCTCCCACTTTCTTTATAGCACATGACCGTTATTTCATCTATATACATGTATAATTAAAACAAAATCACTAAAACAACATTGACAATGATAAAAATAACATAAATAGTATATTCTATAATACTGATTTGCAAATATAACTCTGTTATCTTCTAGTAAAGCTCTTCTTGTTTTTCTCTGCACAGTAAGTATGGATTTGAGTTGTCAAGGAATAATAATTCAAATATAATTCCTCTATAAAAAAAGATCAAATAAAAAATATACTTTTGTAAATGAGATGCAATAAAGTGGACCAATTGCTTTGATATTCAAGTTACTTTGTATTCCTTGGTCCATCTTGTATATAGATGGAAGGGCCAGTTTCCCCAGCTGAATTGCTGGAGATACTACAAAGGACAATGGAGGAGCAAGGATTGGTGTTCGGCAGTTCAAGGGTCAAGGAGGAAGAAAAGAGAAGATCAGATCGGCGGTTGAGGGAAGAACAAGATGCAGCTTATGTTGCAGCTCTCCAGATAGATAAGGTGCATGTTTATATGATATGTCATGGTTTAACTCCAACTTGTAATCAACAAATAGACAATGAATCAGGTAATTTGTTTATTCCAGGAAAAAGAAAGACTCAAAAACTTACACTCAGAAGAAGAAAGAGCTCAGAGACAAGTACAAGCTTCAAATAAAGCAAATTATGAGAAACTTAAACAAAATCCCACAAGAAATCAGACTAGTAAAGTGAAAGAAACTCTCAGTACTAGAGAAACTCAAGCTACAGATGTTGCAGGCAGAGGAAAGGATGCTGCTCAAGTCACCCAGGTATGCCTAAGTCACCAAATTTCGGTATGGCTTAATGTGTGACAATTACAAGTGCCAATAAATGGTTATAATGATCAAAATGGTCGATGATTGTGCAGATATTGATACGGTTTCCGAATGGGGAAAGAAGGGAGCAAAGTTTCTTGTGCACAGACAAGATCCAGGCAGTTTTCAGATACATTGATTCGCTAGGCTTGCCTGGAGTCGGAAACTATAGATTGATATCAAGTTTCCCAAGAAAAGTATATGGTGCTGATCAGATGGGAATGACTCTCAAAGATGCTGGTCTCCATCCCAAAGCAAGCCTGTTTTTGGAGATTCTGTGATATTAATTACTCTCCTCATGTTTGTGAATGCACACGCGCATCCAACGCACACACACTTGAGTTTATCTATAGGAACTAATTCAATAGCTCTATCACTTATATGTATGCACATGAACGGGTTCACCTTTTCTCTGTTCCAGAAATGCTTTCTTTAGAACTTTGAAAATTTATAACATGGGAAATACTTTGATTTAACTGGTACATATTATCAATGTTCGTGTTAATTATATTCTTTTGTTCACTTCATTAGATGTTTGCTTGTTCGTCTCTCAAATTATTCCAGTATATCTAAGGTCCCAATTTGAACTTCTCATGGATCTCAATACTTTTGACAAGCATTGTGCCACGAGTTGTTTTCCTCCAATTGTCAGTCTACTTCGTGCCATCGTATATACCTGGGAAGTTCCAAACCACCCCATGGCTTCCTCTCCCTAGACTGAACCTGAAACCTAATTAAGGTGCCAGTAATTGTATTGCAGTCAGCAAGTTCTCAGGATTTGCAAGGTATAGCAACATTGTTGAAGAAGCAGAACAACTGGTTGTCAGCTTGAGCAGGTCTTTAAATTCTACCACTTCCAAAAGCAAATATGCTTATTCAAATGCATAGTACAATTCTCAGTTCCAGTTCACTGGGAGTGTAAATGAAGTCTGAATGAATGTGAATGACTTTGCATTGAATGGCATAATCATGTAAAACTTTCCTCCTGTATGTCAGGAGCTAATAGAAATTTTCTGTCTATTTCGGTATGATCATTTCTAAGTAAATATTGTGGATTCTAAGTCAAACGTGTAGCCTTCTTGTACAACAATTAACCTCTCACACCAAGGTCAAAATCAGTGATAGAATAGAGAAAGAAGGCTTAAGCGGCATGGAATATATAACATAACCCTATAAATGGACTAGTAAAAAAAAGGAAGATTAGCTTATATAGAAGTTAGAGACATTAACCAAAACTAACATTAGATAAAGTAATAAGAAATGACCTTAAAAATTAAATATAATAGGGAAAATGGCTTGTAATAGTAAAGAATAAAAAATGAGAATTCGTGTGGCCAACCCTATTCATATAAGATAAAGGCATGGATAAGATGGTGACAATGATGATGATGATGATTATGAAACAACCAGCAATGTCAAACTTAAAAACCTACATGAAAAGTTGTTATTCTATCCATTAGAAATATATTTTTATATATATTAAGACCACTTCTCAGAAACATTAAGCAACTATATTTACCAACCAAAAAAAAGAACATTCAGCAACCATTCCATATAATCTTTTAGCACTCACAATGTAAAAGAACAAAATGAATTATAATTGTACTGAATGAGCATGGAACTTGTTACATTAACACAGCTGCAGCCAGGAATTAGTTAGGGCGATACTTTGGGAAAAATATAACATGGCAAAGACACCCCATCAGCAGCAACCTTCTTCCCTGGCATAGGCAGCCTCACTTGACAGTGATAAACAATTAATAGTAGGCCTAGAAGTAAAATAAATAGGAAAATGGGAGACGGTATTGTATTCTTTAAAGTTAAAATGTTAGTTTGAGCTGCAGCAGAACTTAGCCATAAAAATTCCCCTTCGACCAGTGCAGCTCCTAAAGTCCAAGAAACATCTCCTGGGCCAAAAATTATCTCTTTATCACTAAGACAGAGAGCATCCTCAATGAGTGATGCCAAATAGGATACCTTGAAGCAATACTGTCCAGTATAATTTTTATTCCCGGGAATGCTGCTCGAGTCAACCCATGATCTTGTACATAACTGCTGGCCTTTCTCCCAAATCTTTGTCAAATTTGCTCTTGGGCTCACATTTAACAAATTGTAAACAGCAAAAAATCCCGATAAAGCATGAAAACGTGCAATGGGGTGGGTGACAGCCATCAAATTAACTATCTCAATGCCTGAGGAACAGAAGTTTGAAGTTAAAATTTGAACTCCAGCACATTGCTAAGACTACTGTTTTTTATAAGCATAACAGGGCAAATTTTTCAAGAGAAGATGATACATCACACATTAAAATGCATTTATATATGTTCAAGTTATGCTTAATCAAGAAAAGCGCATAAGTAGCTCCTTAATCTTTCAAGGGTTTTAAAAAAAAAATCATTTAAATGAAACTTAAGATTAAATAGTTATTTCAACTACAATTATTAGTCCTTAGTTTTACTTAAATAATAATAATAATAAATAAATAAATAAAAAATCGTTATTTCAACTACATTTAGTAATATTTTTGTTTGAGTAGTTATTTGGGATATTAAGTTCTTTGAGCACTATTAATAGGTGCAAGCTGTCATTTATGTTGGAATGGTAGGGCCTGCTTGGTTTAGTTCTTAGAAAGCAGCTTTCAAGAACTCTTACAATTAGATAAATAGTTTTAAGAGAACTCCAAATGACAGTATTCTAAAATAAGACCTTTTCTAACTCGGTTTTCTTAGGGCTGTTTTGACAAAACTATCAACCAAATGCATTTTCAAACAGTTTTTTTTTTTCTTTCTTTCTTTTTTTTTTTTTGCCCCCTCGGTGAATATCATACAGCTTTCTGTTTTCTAGTTCTATTATCCTCAGAAAACTGAAAATTTCTAGTTCTCTTATCCTCAGAAAACTGAACCAAGCAAGCCCGTAATTTCTCGTGGACTCTGATTTTTAAGAAATTATTTTCTAGTAAGTGCATTTAGAAATGTTACATGTTGATTTTCACAATCTTGTTGGATTCAAACTTCCATTGGATGTTACTTATCAAAAAAAAAAAAAAACTTCCATTGGATGTTTCTGACAATTCGTCTGTGTAAAGAACATCTTGATCTATTTGACTTGTGTCAAAGAAACTTGTTCTAGTTCCTAGTTGGAACCTCAACACAAGTCAGTCTTAGATGTTGTTTGATAACTCAATTAATTATTGATTAAGTGATTATCCATTTAAATGTGCTTGATATAGCAATTTAGAGATCACTTAAATGAATAAGAGTAACTTAGAATGGATCAAATTTTAAGTGAGGGAGATTTCACTTATCACCGAGTACTGAACACTTCAAATTCAAACAAATATTAAAGAGGTCCTCAATTTAAAATTAGCACCATTAAGCTTAAGCACATAAAATTCAAAACATGGTATTTTTAGTGCCTAATTTTCAGTTTATTAAATAGCTCGTATCGTAAGTGATTCATATTAATGCTTCCTCAGAGAGAATACGTGTTAATGGTCTATTTGGATATTTGGAATTTTGTTAGATGTTTCTAATGTACATTTGCCACTAAAGTTCTGAGTTATATTCAAGATATATTTTTTATGCTAACTTTAGGGGACAACTCTTAAAATTAACATGAGTATTCTGGATAAATCAGATCACCTGAGAACTCCTCATCTAAACAGTGTTTAAATATCTATTATGGTATGTCTCAACCACATTTTGGCTTCCAGATGACACATGTTTTGTAATTTCTTCGTGTTTAATTGCAATGACCTTGTATGGGAAAAACCACTTTGTCTTATTACTACTGTTTGTTGCATATCTTGTCCCATTAAGCATATACTTTGATCCCTCCAGTACTTCGAACAATGGTCACATAGATGCTTTGACCACGGTAATAAGCCAGTATCTCTCCTGATCGGGTGTTCATTGGAGAACAAGGTGTTTAAAAATATTGTTGAATTACTTCCATATTAGTAAATGTTCGTTTTTATACATAAGAAAGAAGATCATAATTGAATAAGGTTATAATTATTTATTTATTTTCATAAGAAAGATTGAATAAGGTCATAAGTTATTTTTCATATGAGTCGTCATTAGGCTAAAAAAAAAATTGGCACTAACTCAAGTTTATAAAACTTCTGCAAATATATCCTGTCATCGCTCTATTGAGAAAAATGTAAGAATTATGGACCTTATATCTCATGTTTTGCCAGGTTACTAAAACTCTAGTTGATAATGATGATCTTAATAAGGTTGGTTCCAACAATCTAATGATTTTAACTTAATACAATTATTATACTTCAATTGCTTTGTCAGTTTTTTTTGGTAATATTAGTAGATATTTGGTAAGTATGGATTCTAATCTTTAGGTGCTCTAACCCAAGAGGATGGTAGGATTTTGGTGTGGGTGGGTGGGTGGGTGGGGGGAGGGAGTATCAGTTAGGGAAAAAAATAAAAAAGAGGATGACAGGATTTGTGATAGGAAGAGCCTAGTCAGATTTGAAAATTTAGTGCTACTGGTCGTCACCCGATCGCCTATAAATATTTGCTACATGCTTGAGAAACCTATCATTTTTGTACCAAAAACTGGGAGTAATACCAAGCTGCCTTCTCTGTTCCTTAAAAAGATTGCCAGAGAAGTAATGGCCTATTGAGATGCTCAATAGCGAATTGTATATAATAATATAGCATTATTGTAATGGGATGTAAACATTTTACGTAATAGTATATCAGCAGTTGAAATATATGGGTACTCAGAATAGTTATCATAGAAGCAGATGAAACAAGAAATTTATGAAGGATGGTGAAGGAAAAATCACAACTGTAACAACACAGTTATTTGCCAAACCAGGTTCAAGAACATAAAATATTTTCAACAACCAGATGCTTAGGAAATGACGGGACAATGTAGTAAACTGACCACTATAAGCGGACAAGCCTGCTTTGCAGTTTGGGCCATCTGCTAGCTGTGACCAGTCTGAATTGCTCGAGTTGATAGCAGCAGCCCTGGCAATTAACTTGCACTGCTCCCAATTTGGGTCTCCAACAAGAAATACTGAATTCGACTCATTTTTTGGCACTTGACGGCTAGAATTTTCAGAAGCATAAGAACTTGGCCCAAAACAACCATGGCAAGTATAATTTTGCACCAAACCAAAACCAAGGCAAGGATGGCTTATTTCAAATGTTCCTCCAGCAACTTCCCTGAGTGCCGGCGAATGACTAAGCATAACCACAGTCCTATCGAATGCCTCGTTTAGCCCAAATGCTGGCAATGAGTATGCTAAAATTTGATGTTCAAATGATCCAATCTTTGATCTCAAAAAGTGCTCATCTTCTTTCAATTCATCTGTCTCTGCAACAACCTGTAATGAAGAACCTCCTAGATCGAGAAGTCCCAAAGTGGGCTGCAACCTTGAGGAATTCTTGAAGGTTCCCATTTTATAGTTCAGAGCAACCCAACCATAGTAAGCTTCTTCCTTCCCACTCAATACCCTAATCCAATTTTTTCTATACATGAAGGCGTGTTCCTTTACAACAGCCTCTGCATCCTCCAAAACCCGCTTAGCATCTTCCCTTGGCAGTCTCCTAAGTCCAGCAGTAGCTAGAACAAAAATAGAAGTCTCTCCATGCCTTTCAGAAGGTACCCTTTGTTCCGCCCAAATAATCAATGGCTCTAAAGATGCCCTTACTCCAGAAGAATTACCAACAAATTTATCTAAACCGGGTTCAGTTTGCAAGCAGTGATACTGACAACCATCTTTCTGTAGTTTACTACTGGTTGAGTTATCAGGATAAGAATGCACCAAAATTGGCAATTCATGACTGCTGATACCACCTTCTATCATCCATTCAATTACATTTACTCGTGTACCTGTGCTACCACAATCCACTACCACCGTAAAATATGACCTTTTTAACACAAATTGAGTGTTCCCTGGTCTTAAAACAACATAAACACAAACCGATAATAACAATACCATCACTAGAACTATAATACCAATCCTCAGAGCTCGGTTCTGAAAACCCATCATTGGAAGCTTAAATTTTGACGGCGATCTAGGTTCCATGGCCAAACTAACAACATCAAGATACTGTAAATTCTAAATCTATCAACTTAATTCTTTGAATCAACAAATATACAGAATTAGTAGATTAGGAGGTGATAACAGTAAATCGTTGTGAATTTACAGCTCTTCAATCAATCAATAAATAAACAAACAATCCAGCTACTACAAGTGACGATTCAGTAATATGGCCGTAATCATACACATGCGTCAATATTCAAACGAATGGATACGGAATCGATCTTTTGAATTTCGACAAAAAGGCAGAGGAACTTAAATGTAAATTCTCTTACCTTGTAATCTCCCGGATCCGTAAGAACTAAATTTCTGCTCTATAGCTCGTACATTCTCTCTCTACTTTCTCTCTCTACAAGCGAGAGAAGAGAGGAGTTGGAACTCGGAAGTAAAGACGAAATAGCGAACCAATTGTATGGATCCAGTAGCTTAAATTAGGTGGGCATTACCAACGGGCAATGCCCCACTTGTTAGAGTGCCACTCGTTTCCTTTTTAATTTACAAAAATATTACTACCTAAATAACATCAACCATTCATTTAACATTAGTTAAATTTGTATTGTTACATTTAATAAATAACATTAATCAGTGACTTGGTTCTTCAAAATTTGGAGTAATTTACTGTAAATTATATTGAGATTTTTGTTATTATTAGATTAGAAGTTTTTTACTGCATAGTTACCGGTTACCAGCTACATTTTATACATTTTGTCATATTTAGATGGCTAGATCATCAATCATCTATCCCTCGTACGCATGATCTTTTATACACTCTTTATGAATGCAATAAGATATAATATTTTATATTCCTTTATTTTCTAACATAGTATAGAGTCCTTTTCGATCATTGGTAAACCCTCATTGATTTATCGTAATCACCACCGTGAATGGCACTATTAGCTCGATCCTCGGCGGTGGTCAACCTTTAAACCCATGCTTCCAAACACACGCCTTTGTACGCCTCAAGTGGTAAATCCCACGCTCCTCAACATGTCGGATCCTCACGAATCCACCACCATGCACCTCTGCGCGTCTCAAGTAGCAATCCCACGCTCTCGTGCTCTTTCACGCGCCCCAACGTGGTGGATCTTAACATATATGCCACCATGTGCTTTTGGGGGCCTCAAGTGGTAATCCCACGCTCCCATGCGCTTTCATGTGTCTCAACGTGTCAAATCTTCACGGATCCACCACCGTGTGCCTCTACGCGTTATAAACTAAAACTTTTGAAAGTTCACGGTCGACTTTGGAAAAGTTTGGTTTTATTTACATTGACCACCCTTGTTGTGAATTAATTTGTCTTCACCACGGTTGCAACCAAGCCAAATAGAAATTGTAAATGGCCAAACTATTCTCATGCGTAATCTTTCACAATCTGAATTGCAATTGCGCTTGGGAGGTTAAAGGACCCTCAGACCCACCTTAGGATTCCAAAATCAGGCACAGTGGCAAAATCATAATTTTGTCTTATCTCAAAATATAACTGTCCGATCGAAAATGTAATTTGTCATTATGTTCAAAAGGTCCGAGAAACTCAAAATTCATTAGAAGATTCATTAGAAGCACCGACCCATTGTGCAGCCGGATTCAAAACCGGGCATATGGAGATAAAGGTAGTGTTGGATTCTTGGGTTTTAATTTATAAGAAATGAAAACAATTTTTCATAGAGTAAACAATTTCTTAATATCTCTATAACTTTAAGTTCAAAATCTGTAACAAATGCATGCATAATTGATAACTTTTGTTTCGACTTAAAGCTTAAAAGATACCACTAAGTAAATACATATCTAAAAAGTAAGCATTTTTATGGAGAACAAGTGATAGGAAAGAACAATGCTTACAAATGAACATGTGATATATTAATGGTGCATTCCTATCATTGTTAATTTTACAGCAAAACAAACTTTTGAGATGCCAATAAGGATGGATTCCCTGAAAATGCTTGAAATGACAGAGAATTTTTGGTTGGTACCCGAATTAATTGTTAATAATTATTCTTATAGCCTCATTGCTTGTTCTTTTCCTCTGTAGTTAGTTTCTACTTTTATTTTGGTGTTTCTCATTGTTTTTTGTTTTGTCTTTGTACATTTTTAACTATTCTTTAGTTTTTTGATTTAGTTTGGATTCGATTAACATTTGCCCTAAATTGAGAAGGAATATGTATTGAGATTTCAAAATAGGTTATATATGTGTGTGTGCATATATATATATTCATATTCATGTACATATACATATTGAGTATTTCTGTAATTTATAAGGGCAATTTTACTAATTTTAAGTAGATCCATCATTAACTAGGTTCGTGCTAGTAGAAGGTTTGTTTTCGGGGGAGGTATGTGTAATTTTAAAAATTATAGGGGTGGGTATGTTTAATTATAATAAACTTTAAGAAAAGTGAGTGTAATTTACCTTCTATTTTTAAGAAAGCAGGCCTTGAGTGGGACGGGTTCTTCATTGGGTCAGGCCTACCCGAAATAACACGTACCGAATCTCCCAAACGGGTCATTACACATAAGCCACTGATTTATTTTTCATTTTTATAAATAAAAAATAAATAAACTACCTTCTCACTTTACCTTTTCTACCTTTTTCCTTTTACAATTCTGATAAATTGCGTTATCTGGAAACAAACCATCCAAAACTCTCTTCAAAACCCTAATTTAACCATTCAGAGCTCCCATTTCCTCTTTCCATTATCCGAATCTCTCTCTCTCTAGAAACTACATTCGGATAAAGGTCTTGGTACATCATCACATGTCATATAGACACAAAGACATATATCGTTACATATATAGACAAACACACATCATCATCGTTGTCTCTCTCTCTCGTTCCTGTTCTTGTTAGTTTGGAGCACCGATCAGAATTTCTCGTAAGCGATTCTCTCTCTTGTTATCTATGTCTCAATGTGTAAATCATAATTGGTAATTAGGGTTTGTGTTTTCAGTTTTGCCCAGCTTTTGCAGTCTAAATTTGACAATTTCAGACTTTACTGTAACTGAGAGCTCTGCTTATAATATATCTATATATATTTTCTTTTTACTTGATACAAATTATTGCTTTGAATTTTGGCTATGCTTGAATATTGATATTTATGCGGCATAAGTCATTACTGGATTGCCGTATAATGATTTTATGGCGCAATGAATTATTGTTCTGTAATGCATTTCCTTTGCTGAATTTATCCTTTTCATTATTTTTGATGCAATTTTGCATTTCTGGTAGATGATTGTGCTCAGACGGTCGAGAAAATGGCGTTGGTAACCCAACATATTCAGGTGAATGGAGCACTAACTTGTATTTTCTTCTTGTCTTTATACATTCCAGAAAATGCAAAGATTTATGGATTTAGTAACCCATAAATTCTGACTGAAAAACTTTGCACTTTGTCATATGCGTGCTGCTTTTATGTACTTGGATGTTATAAATTCTGTGTGGGAAATGATTTGAGAATGGATTAAATATATTGCAATAAGCTTACGTAGCAAATTGCAGAGGTATGGTGTCTACAATCATAGTGTGTTGAGGAACATGTGATCTTGGGACCAATGGTGCCAAGAGCTGGTTTTAGAATGGAAAGTCTTAAATTTTTGGCATAAGGCTATTTCATGCACTGTTTTGACCAAAATTTGAAGAAGTTTTTTTTTTTTTTTTTTTTTTTTTTTTTTTTTTTGTGTAAATTTGAAATATATATTAGCTTGCCTGGATAATTTATTTATTTATTTTTTGAGGTTTAATTAAGCTGCTCATAATTTATATTTTTATATCAAATTTTATTGAGTCCGTGTCAAAGTTTTGATGTACATATTGGTACCAATACAACCAAATCTCACATGGTAGATGAACTTGTTAGAAGAATTGTGGTAGTATATCTGTGATTATCCTTTGTCTCGTAACTTCTTATATACATGTGAGCCAAAAATTATAGAAGAATATCAAAAAAAATTTAGCATCTATGAGAAACGTGTGCATATTTATTTTCTTGTTCTTATTTATGACTATGCATATCGTATAGTGCAAGGATGATAATGTGGCCGACCCCATTCACATGGGATAAGGCAAGCATGATTATGATGATGATTTAATGCACTTGGATATATGTTGGATTCCTATTTCTATACCTATCTAGTAAAATTCTGGTTAAAATCTTTGAGTTTATGTAGCATTTTCTCTCTCTTGCCCTCATAACTTAGTAATGTCCATCTTGCACTCACAATTACTATTCCCACTGAAAGTTTTATTTTACGTGCCTGAACTTTGTACCTTGTTCTTTTTATTGCTTTCAGGGCTCTCATGTGACATTTCCTTCAAGGCCTTTACCATGGAACAGAGGAATGAAGTTGAAACGATATGTAACAACACTTCACATGGTTGCAAGAACAGATAGGTTCCACTCATCGAAGTGCCAGTCTTGTCTAAGGTGAGACGTTGCGCTGTTTTTGTTTGTTATATCATCAGCTCTCTCGTGGACATTTTATCTCATAATCACATGTGCCATAATATTACTTTTGAGATTGCCGGATTTGGGTTTTCATGTCCAAAGGTTTACTTCGCTAAATGGTGTTTGGGGCAACATGTGTGAATTTCAGTAATGGGGTTATGTTATACTTTTGGTTAATTCTCTCTTTCATATGACTGTTGTTTTTGTTTGTTGGTCTCTTTTTGTAAGTTTTAATTAATTTTTGTTCTCTATGACTTGGAACACTTGGCTAATTTCTTGATTCAAAATGCCCTTGAAATTATTCATCTAGATTTGCTCATCTATATCCTGATAACCTAATTACTACATCTCAATCTTGTTCATAACTTATTTAGAAAAAATACTTATTATTATTATTATTATTATTTTCTGATTTCAAATTATTGTTTGCGTCTAATAGATTTTTTATTTGATTGTGATAGAGATGACAGTGAGGGATAGATGGAATCAATTGTGTGTTTCACTGGAATTTATTTATTACTTCCTCATTTTAAAAGATCTCTTTTGTGAATGAGCCATATTCTAGCATTTTAATGCCTAGAACCAACTCAAGATGAGTATTGGAATTATATAGTGTCTTTTTATTTGAATTCACTGTTTTTTCTTGATAAATTTTTTTAAAAAAAAGAAAAAGAAAAAAAAGTTCTCTCCTGTACTAATCTTGTTGATAGGTATCATTGTGTGATTCAGTATTTACTTTGCATTTGGAAGCATGGAATTGATTTTTTAGCATTGGAATTGGGGACAGTTAGTTAAAAATTTGGACTAATTTTCCTATGATTCTGTCCAAGGCACAACTTATATACTACCAAACACAGCTCTAGTGTTTTGTCATTTCAAACTACCTCTTTTATGAGTGAGCCATGATGCTAATGTTATTGAGCCTAGAATCTACTCAAGATAAATACTGGAAATATATGTTGTAATTATCGTCTAATTTGAAGCCTTCGCATCAATAGGTAGCATTATTCATCCTGACTGTACTGATTCTTGTATGTAGTTCTTCTCTTTAATGCATTATGTGATTTGTACTTAGTTCTTATATGTACACATGTATAATTTTTGGTGCAGCATAAGACATAGCATATTTAGACAAAGTAATGATTACTTTTGTCTAAACTTTTACCTGCTTATTTTTATTATTATTATTTTTTTGAGTACATGAATTAATAATTACCTCTGCTATATTTTTCACGTTTTTTAAAGGATATTTAATTTTCATTACAAAAGCCAACAATTCCTATAATGTAGTGTTTGTTTCAAATATACTTCCTACAAACTTCCATTAGTATCTTATATGTATATATGTGTGTATGCATAACTTCTATTTTAATAACTACTGCTTTTTGTTAATTACCAATTTTAGAGAAAAGCTATTTTTTGGTTCTTATTTTTTAAAATTAATGAGAAAATAATTTTTATTAATGTCATTGTGTTTGGACATGTTACATCTTATTTGCTTCTGTATTTTGAACCCATTTTTCAAGTAAACTCGCTTCTGCCAGTGCTCCAACTATGTTTGTCCAGGCACATCACTTGTTCTTTTCATGTATGCTGTTTATTCTATTAAGTTCTCTTTTGAAGGTCGGCATCTTGATCTTTTATTCAGTACAATAAAAGCATGTCTTCTGTAAGAACACATTAGAAGGTAACAAATAAAAAATGAAAGTTGAAGAATCTGAAAAAATTAAAAGATAATGGCTGGGTCAGTGAAGGCAAGTTCTAAGTCAATGAAACAGTTGGAGAGGGTGAAGGAAATTATTACAAGGAAGTGGTGGGCATACTAATTATCTTTTTGGTCTGATATGGACGGATGCCGGGGGCATATTTTCCTTTTATCTGACCTTTAATTCTTTTAAAATACTAAGAAAGGTTGGAAACTTGATGGACAACTTCTCTGGTGTATGATGCTTATGTGGTACACACTTAAATTCAGTCACAGTGTCACATAATGATGCAACTGGGGATTGCTTGAAAAAGTTCAATCATTAGTGCGTATAATTAACTTTATTGTGAAAATTTGCTTGAGTTGGGCCTAGTGACCTCTTAATTGAACCTTGGTTATGCAATAAGAGTACTCTGATGGAGAATTTAATTTTCATGTTTTATTTCTTCTGTTTGTGTGTGTGTTTGTCTGTCTGTCTGTCTTCTCTCCTTTTTTTCTTTCCTTTTATTTTTTTTTCCCCTTGTGGGTGGAGTAGGCAAGCATGGATTGGAAGGGGCGTGAACTGATGCGTGTTGAACTACAAGGGCAGTTCTGTTGATATATTCCTATTGTTAATGAAGAAGAAGAGAGAATGCATTTTAAACTGGTCCAGATATATATCATCATGGACCCTAAAATGTCTGAAGATCTTTTTCTTTCTTTTATTTCTCTCCTTTCTCAACTCCTGGTGCTGCTACTGTTCCAACTCCGCACTAACGTTACCATTCCAATCCCTATCATGATCCTCACAGCTTGCGAGTTTGAGAAGGATGTGCCCTGGTCACCAGCTGAAGGACATCCTTGTACAAGAATGAATGGGAAGCTGGGCTGGTCTATATTGGTTGAATTATCTTTACTTTATCCCCCATAATCTAATTGACTACACTTGGACATGTACTATAGTTCACATAGAATGGTATCATCTTGAACGCCGTCTTCCACATTAGGCATTAAGACGTGTTTTGGCATTAGTTACAATGCATAGACTTGATAACTATTACATACCATGGGCTGGTACTAGATGAAAAAGGGTGGAGGTAGAGAGTTAGTTGATTTTCTTCTGTTGTTTTATCTAGTAACAGTTTGACAACAACAATTTTGTCAGCCTTTCTTTCAAGTGGCATCCTCCTCCTGCATTTTCCACATAGCAATCACACAGGAAACCATTTTCTTCTTCTTCTTCTTCTTCTTCTTCTTTTTTTTTTGGGTTGCCCCAACTCATTGAGTTGAGACTAGTACCTACTGGTGTACTAACCACTTAAAAACCACAAGCATTTTGGGAGGCATGTTGACTTTTGTGAGTGACGTAACTTAACTAAGCCACCATTTGACATTCATTAAATGTGAAAAAAATTATGGATGACCGTGATAACTGTAATTCACTTTAAACTGCTGATAATGTTTTTGGTGGAGGTTAGGCCTGCAGTAGGATTTTTTCTGGTAAAACCTTTATTTCTTAGTGATGCCTACTTAAATGCACAGACTCACGGGAGAGGAATAAGTGACCTTCCATTCATTATTTGAAATGATATTTACTATTAGCATTTTGTCATAGTAATTAATTATTCTGTCTTGTTTCTTCTAAGACTAGCCATAATGATTCTTTCTGCGAAGAGATTGGACATTTTCTTAGTTCATGTGTTAAAATTTGTCTGTTTTGCATTATTTCAGCTTTTTTTGGAGTTCTTGGCCTATTTTGCCTAGTACTTGAATTACATGATCTTTCTTTGGATGAGATCATGAGAGTTATCTTCTTTCTTCTTCAAACAAACCCATTTATTTTAGATTACCCAACATTCCTCTCCCTCTCTAACACCAACACCATCTCACTCTTTCTCTCTCTCTCTCTCTCTCTCTCTCTCTCTCTCTCTCTCTCCATCTTCCAGTGCTCAGTACCCTTAGGGCCCGTTTGGGAAGTGTTGTGTGGTGTAGTGTAATGCTCTAGCCTAGAACAGAGCAAGTGTTTTGTGATGTAGTGTTCTGAAATGACAACAAAACATGTTTGGGGCGAAAATTTGGAGTGAGAATTTTGGAATAGAAATTATTATTATTATTTTTTTTTGACGATTAAAATAAATTAATTACAGAGCTTAATTAGTTTGCAAAACAAGAATTACAGAGCTTGATTAGTTGATTTAGAAAAAAAAATTAAAACAGAACCCATACACACAGGTTAGCAGTTGCAGAGAGAGAGAAGGGGGGGCAAGCTTGAGAGTTGAGAGAGCGGCTGAAGCTTGCAAACGGCAAACGGCAAACGGCGAACGGTTGAAGCTTGTAGATTTTGTAGTTTGCAGTTGCAGAGAGAGAGAGAGACTAGGGCAATTGGGAGGCTGAAATGATTTGCCCTAAAAATGGATTTGCAGAGTTGAGAACGAGAATAGAGATGGAGGCATTTGGGAGGCTGAAATGATTTGCCCTAAAAAAAATTAAAACAAAGCCCTTACAGTTTGCAGTTGCAGAGAGAGAGAGAACGAGAATAGAGATGGAGGCGTTTGGGAGGCTGAAATGTTTTGCCCTAAAAAAAATTAAAACAAAACCCATACAGTTTGCAGTTGCAGAGAGAGAGCGAGAATAAAGATGGAGGCGTTTGGGAGGCTGAAATGATTTTTGCCCTAAAAAAAAATAAAACAAAACCCATACAGTTTGCAGTTGCAGAGAGAGAGAACGAGAATAGAGATGCAGGCATTTGGGAGGCTGAAATGATTTGCCCTAAAAAAAGATCAATAATTTGGGAGCCTGTTTAGCTACAGTAAATATTGGGCTAGAACAACATAGAGCACCAAAATCTTGTTCCAGCTTTTGGGCCAAATAGTGGATTTGTTTTGAAAGTGTTCTGGTACTGTTGAGAACAAAACAATGCGGGCCAAACATGTTGTGGACTCAAAATGGGCTACTGTAGCGGGCCTAGAACACTTCAGAACACTACAGAACAAACACCAAACAGGGCCTTAATTTCCCCTCCGCCATGCCCTAATAATACCAGCTATCAAGATCATATTTTTCTCCCTTATTTTTTCTCTAAAGTTTATCCTCTTATCTTCTTATTCTTCTCTACCATTTCTTCTCTCTAAAAAAAGAAAACCCAACTCCTTCACCACCAGCCACACCTCCAAAGTTGCAACGGTCGGTTAATTGCACCTCCACCTGAACTCTCTCTCTCTCTCTCATTAGGGCCATCTGCTATCTTTTCTCTCTATCCTGTTCAATTTTATTGTTCCTGTAGTTTTTTTTTTTT